TTGCCGTAGCCGCCGTAGCCCTTTCCTTTGTTGTATTTTCCTTTGTTCTTTCCTTTTCCTTTCTTGCCCTGTCCTTTGTTGTACCATGATGCTCCTTTGTCCATTGGTGTTGGACCTTGGTTGTCACTGCTCGTAGCCGCTTGTAGTTTGACGAATTGTGCTGCTCTGTGGTACTCCACAACCAGTGATCTAATTTGTGCGTAGGTTGTGATATTGCCTGCTTGTAGTTGCAAATGCTGTTGTAGTGGACCTTTTGTCTCGTTGAGCAGGATTGCAATCTTGATTGCATCCGGTAGTAGTGTTCTGTTGTCTTGTTCGTACTTGGCGAGTTGAAACTCCCATGTTGTAAAACTCTCTTCGAACTTGTTTTCGTCTAGTTGTGGTTTGAGTAGCTTGGTGAGGTAACCGATGCTTCTTGTACCAAGTGGCAGTGCGTAACGTAGGATGTTCTGTCTGCATATTGTTGATGCTGCTCCGTCACATGTGTTGACGAGCGGGAAGTGTAGATCTCCGCTGAGTTGTAGCCATTTGTCTGCTGTGTCCTGATCTGGTGCGGCTTGTTCCAGTTGGTCGCTTGTGATTGCTTGTGCTGATTGTTCCGCTTAATTCAGTAGTCTGTTGTATGATGACTCTTGCAAACCAAGGTATGCTCTCATCTTGTACTTCCATTCTTCCAATGTGGTGTATTCGCCACTGAATCGTGGAGGTGATATTCTGTACTTGTGTACTCCTGACAGTTGCTGTTGGAGTTGTGCTTGTTGTGCACTTCCTTGTGCCGCCATTGTCACTTACTGTGTCACTGTGTACTTTGGTTGGTTGGATCTTTCCTAGGTGTGGTGATGCTTGTAGTCAGTTGTGCTCCGCTACCATGTTAAACTGAATGTTACCTGAATGCCTGATGTGATGAACCTGTGATGTGAATCAGCGCGGCTGTAGTAAACTGTTTTCTCCTGGGCAACTTGTAGAGGCTCAATGCCTTGGCATGTACAGCCACGGTGAGACCAAGCTGTACTACCGTGACATGTACCCAAGGGCATGTATACTCTTAACAATACTGTTTGCCTAGCGGGTTTGACAATTTCAGGCTAACGACGTATGGTAGTCCCGTGTCGCTCTGCTTGGCGGCAACACTCGTCATATGCGCAGATATGTATACACGGTTCGTGAATACACACATGCTATTCCACCTGACGTCCATTTGCTTAAGAACATGTTTTATTTTCCCTTGCTGGTTTTAAAGGGAATCTATCACTACCGGACATATATTTTGTTTCAGGGGGCTTAAGCCAATTGACGATGACATTCAGTCACCAACCATAGGACTTGTTTTGATTGGTGGGAACTGGGTCCATTGAGATTCTGGAAGTTCCCTCAAACCGCGGACGTCCCTGAGGAAAGCAGCTCTCACTTTCTACGAAAGAAAAACGCGGCCAAAATAAATAGCTTGCGTAGGGGATAAAAATTGAACGGGTCAACTGATTCAGATGCGACCTAGTGACTAGTGACTATTGGGACCCCTGGGTTCATATCCCTCTCGCCTCGCAGTGGCCACTGGCCCTGCAGTTTTGGACAGGAGTGGCAGCGCAAGCCGGGGGATGAGGATACGGAGCTCGAGCGCAAGCCTCCCTTGCCATGTTGCACTGTTCAGGGCAAGCCAATAGGAGCTATGGAGGCTAAGGGCCCCATGGCTTCCCTTGTGGCTCTAGATCAATTTGGAACCCTCCGGTGTAAACATGATTTAGACACCTTGGGTTTGAGAAGGCTCTTGTTTGGCCCCATTGTTTGGACCTATGGTTTAGACACCTATGGTTGGAGAAGGCTCCTTTTGGCCCTTCAAAGAGGGCCAGGATCTGGATGTGTCGAATGTTAATAGGGCAGGGAGTTTTGGCGCCGCGACCAACTTACCCTGGTGAGGAAAGCGAGAGCTCACCTAGCCTATGCTTCAGGGGGCCGTTTGACGGGAAAAACAAGAAGAGGCTTGCACCCATAGGTCACCCAGGCAGGTCGCCAGACATGTTCCAAAAACAAAAGGCGTGGTTGCCTTGGTTGCCTTTTGGAATCACTGAGTCTAGCAACGGCCAGGTTTGACGTTGACATCCTGACTCCCGGAGAGACCCGGAGAGGGCGTTGGACCCAGCATGCAGAAGCTACAGGCAGTGGGAAGGTTGGAGTAACACCTCCCAGTCACACCTCCCAGTCAGAGTCAGGGTTGTTTTCGCCAGACTTGTGGCAGAAGAACCAAACTTGGGTCAACTCAGTTGCCCAAAGCGAATCGACCTTTTAACCTCTTGGTTTTCCAATTTTGGGATCCCATTTTTAGTCATGGCCCCAAAAGGTTAACCTTTTATTTCTGGGTCCTTTGGGCAAGTGAGTCAAACTTGCAGATGATTGGCCGTCTTCCAGAGACCGGCTCATTGAGCGAAGTGCAACCACAACGTTGGGGATGCGAGCTTCTGCCACATGTTCACGCGGAATGCGGATTCCGATTGCGATATCTGGGGACTTTCCTCTCCGGTTTCTTCTTCGGAGAATGCAACGCCAGCCTAACACCTGAAGTGGTTCGGGGCATCAAATCACCGAATCACGAAATCGCGGCTCAATCAGGTCGACAGGTTATTACTAGTGACTCATGGTTGTTTCAGAACCACTTTGCGTGAAACTAATATATAGTCAGGAGATTGACCCACAGGACCTAATCGAGGATTTGATTTTCCGTCACTCACTTCTCCGATCTGATAAGGGCCTAGCGTCGCTCTCAATGAAACTTGCCACTTCCGGTTCAAAGGAGTCGTTGGACCTAGAACTTTTGATCTGAGGTACCTCTTCAACGTGAAGACGACCCGGCACTATGACGAAGGTGGCCGGGCTTTGTCAGGCGCCAGTCGGGGTCCACATAAATCATGTAGTAATGTAGTAAGTGGTCGACTATCCATGGTTGACAAGTTCCCATTTCGGAGGATTTCCTCAGTTGCATGCGGGGGACTTATTAGCCGGGGATATTAACCACTTGACGTGGGATGGTGATCCAAGTGTCCGGTCGTCCGGTCGAGAGCGAGCTGGTTGAACCGTCGGACCAAGGGGATGAGACCTTGCAAAGGGCTTCCTTAAGGGAGACGTTTGGGCCGGCCAGCAAAGCGCCTTTACCGGCTTTGCAGGATCCCCTCGTAGGCTGGCTTTTGGATGTATCCTGCAAGAAACACTGTTCAACCTTTCAGATGTTCCTTGTTGACCCAAGCAAATGGGACCATGCTTCGTCAAAACGCGGTTTCACCCAGGTATTATGGGGCTAAATGCGACTTTGTCCCTACCCATTCGGTTACAGTTTTTTAGGTTTGAACACAGGTCCAACCGCACAGGTCCAACCCACGGCACATATGGGTAGGTCATTTTGGGGGTCGGCCTTTAGATGGTGGTGTTGCCCTGTTGTGTTCCCTTCCCTGAACACGATCTCAAATCATCACAATTCGGATGGGTCTTTCCCAAGATTATCTCAAGGGCCCACTTGCATGCCCCGAATGGACATAACCCAAACTCGTGGCTATACACGGCTTATAGAGGATACACACCCCAACCATCCCTATCCGAGGCCACTAGCTGTGGTATGGACCCTTCAGGGCATCGACACCCAGCAGTCGTTTTGCAGGGCTGCTCCTCTACTTCTTCCAGCGCGATGGCAGAACCTTCCGCTGCACCTTCCTCTACAGGCCTTCCCGCGCATCGCGCATCGCGCATCGCGCTCCAGCGATTCGACCGATTTCGCAGCCCGAAGCTACGATTTGAGAGGTTTTGCGGCTCGGTGTTTCTTGGTGGCTGAAGCCATCCCCTTAGCTTTTTAGCTTTTCGGTGTTTCTTGGAAGTTCCATTTAACCCACGAAAAGTTGGTCGCTTTTAGCGGGGGATCTGAGGGCGGCCCAGGTTTGATTGTCTCAACTTGGTTTTGGAGGGCCTCTGAAGTTGAAGAGAACTCCCCTCAAAAGCGGCCATTTGCTTGAGTGCTTTTTTGTTTTTAGTCCCCTGTTGGTTTGAAAGGGAATCTATCACTACTGGATATCTTTATTTTTTTTTTAATTCCAGGGGGCTTAAGCAAATGGCAGAAAAGAGGTGTTGTACTTGCTTTTGCAATGCTAGAGGTCTGGGATTAGGGATTTCGGAGCAATGATGTTGTTGTCACCATGCTTCCCCTGAATTGTGAATCCCTAGGCTTCAGTGTTGCCCAAACCCGGCCAATGGAATCCAGTTCGCTGAGGGGCTCGTTGCCTTTCTGGTGCTGAGCCCATGCTTTGATTGGTGTCATGGGTTGTGTCACAAGCTCATGGCTGCTATTTGGTTGGGTCTTGAATCTTTCACTTGATGCGAACTTGTGTGGCTTCTCGCTAGTCAGCAAGAGGTGACACTGTTTGCAAGGGGAGTAGCCAACAAGAACTGGCATTTTACAAATTGTGCTGGTAGAACACTTGGTGCAAACTAGTATTTTGCTTGAAATCCGAGCCAAGAGTTGATTCATCCTGGTGCTCGTGATTTGTTGCCAGGCAGTTTGCTCAAGCCCAAGAGGCAAGCAGAACAAAGTCAGTTGACCACATGACTCGAACGCATCCCCTACCCTCTCATGCTAGGCTCGTCCAGGCTTTTTTCACGTGCATACATAGGTATTGGTTGCCTTTGCAACGGATCTATCATAGTTTGCCCCGAAAAAACAAGAGCAGTGACAGACCTGAGCAAATATCACAGATCCGCTCAAAGAAGTGACCTCCAGCACTGAGAAGGCCAAGAAGGTGTTGGGCAAAGACCTGTCACCAATCCCGTGTCCGCTTTTTTCTCCGCTCCTTATCAGGCATCCAAGCCCTTCTTGATGCAGAGCAACCGTTTGGGGCCCATGTGTCTGGGGCATGGGGCTCCTGTTCTCTTGAACCTCAGGTTGGTTTGCTGCAAGAATTAGACTGTTTCGTTTTTCCGGGCCCTCTTAAATCTTGGTATGAAACGAACACCACGTTTTCGAGGGGTGGGATTCGATCCTCCTTCTGGGGCATCCCACATCCGGCCGCTCGGCCGTCGCACCCGGTCATGGCGTGGATCAGCTCTGCGGTGACGACCTATGGCGCCTCGGAAAAGCTGAGCCGCCATTTTTCAGGGGATTTTCCAAAGGGTTTCCCTTTGGTCTCCCATAGCAACCAAAGGGTTGCTTTCCTTTGTATCTCTATACCAAAGGGTGGCTTCCTTTGATGTCCTTTATGTCTCTGTTTTTGCGCGTATCTTTCACAGGGTTGGTCTTTTGGTTTCCCAGCAACCACACCAGGCGCCCTCAAAAGACAAAGCCCATATCTCCAAATGGTCAATCGGACTTTAGACATGGCAAGGATTCCTAAGGGACCAATGAGCATAACCCTCGTGCCACCAAACTCTCACTTTTGCCGATGTCCCAAGTCAAACAGCGAAGGAGCAGCTGTGCCGGCCTTGTGTTTTGACTCACCCGCCACACGGTTCAAGCCCCGCAGCGACCGAGCTTCTAACCATTGAAACAATCGGGGTGAATATCACCACCATTGTTTTCCTAGGGAGCTTTATCATCTGTCCTCCTCGAACATGGAACCCGTCAGAAGGGCCATCTTAAAGCAAACTGGTCTTCCTGGACCCCTCCCTGAGTCAGGTTCCATGTGGGTATGGATCAAAATCAAACCACCATGATACGGACTGCAGGTTTTGGTCCATGTTTCCATTTAGGTGGGCAGCCCATTTTGGGTACTTATTTTTGACCCACAGCCATGTTACAGGCATTGCAAAGGTTGAAGCCTTCGGTTGGTACTCCCATCCATGTGGCCGAGGACGGACGGCCGAGCCCAGCCAGGCCCACGCGCAGAGTGCATCCACGAGATTTCGCCCCAACCGAAACCCAAAAGCGCCGGTTTAGGCGGTGCTACAACCGTTTGTTTATATGGGGGTTATATGGGGTTATATACTTGTCAACCCAGACACCCAGTGGTTTGCTTTTTTTTCTCCCTCAAAGAACATATTTTTGGAGGGGGCTCCGATGAATATCAGCCAACAAAAATTGGTTGCCCCCATTGCCGCATGGCCACTGGAGATCTGGGGACAACTAGTATCATATCGGCTAAACTTAGTACAGCCCCTGTCACTGTGCTAGAAGCAATCGCCTGTGGGTGAAACGCGCGCAGCTCAGCCCCAAGTAGGATGATGTACCTGTAACCCAACTACTTGGGTGTTCGGCGAAGTTAGTAGGTTGTTGGCAACCCTTCTTAGAACCCACCAATAAGTTCTTCATGGTTGGGTTGTAACCGAAGTGGCTAACCACACACACTAACTTGACCAAACGTGGCTGTTATGATTTTTAGGTTCATGTTCAATCTGTGTTCCACCTTGTTTGTTTCTTTTCTGGATGTTTTTGGGGAGGGGGAATATTGTTTTGTTAGAGGTGGTCATTTGGGTAATTGTCCCCCTGTTTCATTGTTGGGCTGGGGGCCAATGTATTGAAAAGTTTTGAAATATTGAAAGAGGTTAGGCTTTAAGTTGTTTAATGGTCTGGGTCTTGAGGCCAAACGATTTTGCAACAAGCTTCAGCACAAAAGCAGGCATTGCTTGGCTCATTTGGCTTGTTCTTTGTTCATTTTTGCGCTGCATGTGTTGCTTCCGTTGCGGTGGCTTCATTCTCAGGGCACCATTGTAGGCTTGGTCAATCACATCAGTTCTCGCACCGGCTATGCCCCTTCAGAGTTTGACCCTTGGCTCGGACGTTCCGCCAAACCATGTGAAGCTTCATGGATCAAGTGATGAATCATGTCTTTGGCTGCATTAGTTTCACCACTTCTTTACCAAGAGCTTTCCAGAACTCGATGCGCAGATGCTCTCAGCTGTTGGACATTGCCAAGCATCCCACTCACAGTCACAACCTTTGTCTCAAGTCTTGCCATGCTACCGTGGCCGAAAGTGCGCCCGCGCGGTGGTGGCAAATGGTCAGACGCCAGCAGCATTCCAGGACGGGTTTCCGCAGATGACTATGAGAAGTTTGTGCGGGAGAGGCTTTCGGGAAGCCAGCTTCGGCAATCCGAAGCGACCATCACAGCCCACCTCAGTCAAGATGAATGTGAGGCGCTCAACGAGTTGAAGCGCCAATCTGAGAGGGCATCAGCAGAAAGCTTGGGCAGGTTGTGGACAAAACTGTATTCGAGCACAACAGCCAACGACACACCAGCAGAGGCAACTGCTGTGACGGACGTCGTAGTGAATGCAGAGCGAGACCTTTTACAGTCACTGGGTGAGAATTCGCAATTGCTATTTGGCAATCGGGTTGTTCCAGAAGGCACAGTTGTGGAATGTACGGTGGTTGCAGCCTTGTTCTTCATGCAGTGTTACCAGCTGGAACGGTTTCTAACGCTGGCGGCTGAGGCTGGGCGCTCCGTACCTGCCGTAGCAATGGTGGTGAATAAGCTGCCCATTGAGTGCGCAGAAGAGTGGGTCAATGCGATTCAGCATTATCCATTTCTCAAGACGAAGTATGCGCTGGGTTTCTTTAGCTTAGTCTACGTTCCTCACACCTTGAACATTCGTCAGGTTCAACAACAAGTTCAGCAGGTTAGACAAGAAGTTCAACAAGAGGTTCGCCTCCGTGACTTTGCCATTTTCCTCCTCATCATCTACAGCATGCTGCTGCAAATCCAGCGTTGGAGTTCCCCAGTGAGTAGTTCGAGTTGTGAGACCCTAGTGCAGAAATGGCGCAATCTGGTTTTGGAGAGGTTGATGCCCGCAGTGGGCGCAACTCTTTGCTATGACGCCGGTGCAGTCTTCATAAGGAGCTGAGATGTGGATAAACAAATGCGTAGCGAGAAAAAATGTGGCCATCTTTGCGTCCTGATACTCCTCTGACTGCCCCAACAAGGACCAAGACCCAAACAGAGTATCAGTCATATCCGCGTAGGACTCAAGTGTCAAGGGAGCAAACAGCAGATCGGCAGATCCGATTGAAACCAGCAAACAAGCGGTTCCTTCAAACAGAGAAACAGCCAAGCAGGGAACTTGGCATCCAGGGTTGATCGTACTCAGTCTCATGGGCTTGACGGGCTAGCCCAAATGATCAGACCACGGTGTGAGTTAGTTGCGTGCGCCATTTCCCCAGGGTGGTTTGTGGATGGGGTTAAATCCAAAAAGTGTGTTTGCCTGTGTTGGGGGGGGGGCGGGCGGATGGGGAGAAATCCAAAATGAATAGCGTTGTTTGTGGTTTGGGAATGTTCCAATTTGTTAGGGTGGGTATGGTTTGCATGTGTTCAGCCCTGAGTACTTCTGCAACATTTCGTTTCCGTGTCACGTCTCGGGATTCCCTGATTCAGGTTGAGGAAATCTACGTTTTACATGTGGTGTTCAATGTTGGCCCATGTTTACTCCACAGGCCCTGTTCAGGGTGCAGTCTCTTCTTCAATCCCAGGTCCTGTGGGCAAGTGAGTGTAGACACAAGTTGACAGAAGTGCAAACATGCGCAGATTCATGTTCAGATGATGTTTGGCCGGGGGTCCTTTGCAGGGTTGCAGGGTTTTTACTTTTGACCGGGGCGGTTTTCGGAATTTCCCCACCCCTCCCCCGAGAGAAACACCAAAAGAAAAGAAACTCCAAGCAAACAAACAAATGTTAGAAGCCCCTCAGGAGTCCAACAGGTCCAAGGCTCGCTGCAAAAGCCGGTGCTCTTTCTCCCTCGAGGTGAGTTTCCCGCATGTTTAGGTTGGACATGTCGTTGGAACTTTTCTTGGCGTGCGTGCGATTCTTTTCGGCAATGAGTTGAATGAGGTTGGGGGGAGAAGAGACCACCTACGCACTTCCCCCTAGGCTATTGGTAGGTGGTCATGTAAGCCCTTAAGGCCTGCGGGATGGCGTTATCCAATAGCCTCGTTGCCCCAGACCCAAAGCACAGGGAAGCCAAATGGAAACTGAAGGGAAACCCAAGGCGGTTTTTGGAGGGAATCCAGGGAAATTCCAATGGAGGGGCAACCAAGGGATCCAAACGAAAAACTAAGGGGAACCCAATCCGAGCTTCCGCAGGCCTGGCCTGTGGCGGAAGAGGACTTGAACCTGCAGGCGGTGAAGTAACTCGGAGGATTGTTTGAACGGGTTGGGGAACTTTACAGGACATATTGACATGGGTGTGCATAAATATGATACATACATACATACATACATGCATACATACATATATATATATATATGTATATATATATATATCATGTGTGTGTTTTGGTACCTGTGTTTGTGCTAGAGGAACCAGAAGGAGTGTTCAGAGACACAGCCAGGTAGTCATGATAAGGGAACAAGGCTTGTACTTATTTGTATTTAGGCTCTTGTTTTAGTCTAAGTTGAACATCCTAATCGTGGGTACTGGTAGTTGAGGAATTATGTGCACCAGCCACTTTTGAGGTGGTCCCGTATACCAACTCATAGCCAACTCTGCACCCGCTTTTGGTATGAACCACAGGGGGTCCGCGTGGATGTCCAACGAGAGAAGCTAAAGGGCCAATCAAAAAGGGAATCGAACCGATTTGACATATATGGTTTAAACGATCAGCCAAGGCTAACTTTGAAACGGTCCTGGCCATTAGTTTTCATGAGACCAGGAAATACACGGAACTCGCTAAACTTCCAAAAAAGCAAAGGCTTACTACAAAACATGTATTTTCTGCCGTTTGAAGACTTGAAGAGAATTCGAAAGGAGAACCACCATTGTGGGGTCCCCCAAGAAGACAGCCTCGATCCTTTTGGTTTCCCTTTAAGAGGGAGAAGGTTCAACGAATCAGTCCAAGCCACTTTTGCAACCAATCCGTCATCCGATCCTACAACAGATCTGCCGATTTGATGGCGAGCTCACCACTGACAGGCAGGGTTCTGGACGGGCCAGGTTTAAACGGCTCGGGCTTTCTTTGCGGTGCGTGTTTTGTTGCTCTTGGTTCTTTTTTTCTGGGGGGTTGGTTCCTTTTTGAATGCTCTTTTGGGACTCTTGTAATCCCTTTATATACATGAACGGGTAACTCTCAACCTGTTCAATCCTCTTTCTAAAGAACCCACAGAAACCCAGGAGAAACATCGGTTGGAACGTTAGAGTTGGTCATTGCAAAAAAAATGAAGCAAGAGGAACACCAGTTGTTCTTCGTTTTTTGTCAGTTTGCATATGTTTATGAGCAACTGGGTCATCGTTTTTTTGTCAATTTGCATATGTTTATGAGCAACTGGGCCCAAATGTTTGGTGGGGGATTATTGGTTTTAGGTGGCCAGTGTTTGTGACTGGGTCAAAGGAGTCCAAGGCATATCCCACTTTGGGTATGGCCCAAGATCTAAGAGCCAGGGACTGCAGGTTTGAGTCCTCTCCATTGATCAGCGTTCCATGAACTGGCCGATTCCTATGTTTGAGCCACACCCATTTCCAACTATGTTGCAGGGGATTGCCTGAGTATCACGGAACAGAGCCCTAACCTAAGTTCCCAATGTTCTTGTCGCGCGACGGACCCTGGCAGAGGGTTTCACCTTGAAACCAGCTAGTCCTGGCAGCCCTTTTCAGACCGCACCCTTGTGATTGGCCCCGCTGTTCAACCAATAATACAACAGTCAAGCTGCCCGTCCGACCACCTGAAAAAAAAATATAGAAACACGCTTCGGCTTCCGGCGTCCAGCTTCCGAGCTCCGGCTTTTTCAGGAAGCCGCGTTCGGTTCGCCGAGGCAGCTGAAGAAGACCTTCGTCTTCTGCGGCATCCTCACCTTCGCCTCCATCGCCTTGGGCTTTCTGGGCCGGTCCCTGGACTCCCCCTGGCCGCTCGTTCGATACCAGAAACCCGCAAAAACCCGGCGGCGAGGAGTCGACGTGTCGCTCAAAACACCCCCTCCCCCCTCCCAGCCCACCCCACTTGGCTATGGTTGCTTGTTTGTTGGGGGAACCCCAAGAAAAAATGGTTGGAGGACAGATCCCCATGTCCACCCAAATTCCCCGATTCATATTCATGCTCAGTTGGGCAAGGGGAAGGCATTTGGACAAAACAGTGTGGCCTTCCTTGTTGCATCTCTTTGACACCACTTCAGAAAGGGTACCGGCGAACAAGACGCAGCCACACCCTCCAAAACCGATCCCAAAGGGGTCGAGGTTGTAGGTGGGTCGGACCTGCTCACCTGGAGCTTAGGAAGTGGTTAGTATCCCCTAGGTTTTGCTCATTCGCTGTAAGGGCCCAACAACACAAGTGACAGGGATGCCTTTGACCATCTGTGTTTCTTGGCCAGACTCCGTTTCGGCGCTTCGGGGCTTCTCTGGTGACCACTTGGCTCCTCTAGGTCCCTTTTCAGCTCATTGGGGTCGAATGGGCTCAACCAGATTACCTCAGCTGCAATGTGTGTAGTTGTCTAGCGCCACTCTTTTCGGAGATTTGCAACTATTCCAGTATAGCCATGGTTCAACACTTGGTGAACATTCTGCCAAGAGCACCGGGGAGGGAGCAGGACACCCCGCGTTGTTTAGATGGGGGGTTTGAAGGGAAGATGGGAAGCCCATAAACCAGGAATATGACGGCCGTCTTTTTGGTCGGGGAGAGGGAACAAAGAGCATCCACAAAAGGCATCCATTTCAGACATTTGTTTAGGAACAACAAGTTTGGACTTGTTCAGATGACAAACACACCCCACGGCATTATATACAAGGGAAAACATGTTCAGACTTCCGCAGATGCCTTGAAAAAATTCTTCGCCGGCTCGCTATTCGGAGCAGGAAGGAATTGGTCATGACCAGTGGCTTCGCGCTGATCCCGATGATGGTGTGGATGCCGCTTGCGTTAAATCGACGGTTTTCCGTCGGGACACGGAAAACGCCGGACGCGTCGAGGGGCAAAACATGGTTGTTGTTGGGAAACATTTTACATTTTTGCTCTTTGTGGTTTAGTGGTTGAAATCCAACCACTTAACTGCTATTTTAAAAAATGCTCCCCTTTCAACGTCAAGCAAGAACATGGGGGGGAGGGGGTGGGGTTCCTGGAGAATCTTAGGAGCAGGGATCCTACAGCCCAGAAAGCCTAAGGGAGCCCTGGAAGACACACCGAATTTATGTCCCGGGATCGCAAAAACCAGATTCAGGCCTGGTTGAATGCACGTGGGTTTCCATTGCCTATGGTTAGTTTTTTACAACTCAAGTGGCTATCCAGTCACTCCAAGGGTCCAAGTATCTTGTGAATGACCCCCTTGGGTTCTTCAGAAGGCAGAAGATAGTGATCTGTGTCCTCTGTTGTCGTTTTATTATTATTAAAATATATACTTGTTGTTCTCCCTTTTCTTCGGGTTATTTCAAGGAGACCATCTGAAAACTAGGAGTTTTAGCTGTTTCAAATGCATGAATCAAAAAGCAGGAGTGGCTTGCCAAAGGCAGGAGTGAAAATCAAAAACTAGGAGTTCTTGGGAGAAACAATTGGAAGCAAGTCTTGTTGCTTGATTTCGTTGTTTGGGCCCGCAATTATACAACTCGGTACACTATTCTAGCAGTTATGCAACTCTGTGCACTCGAGTATTTACGGAAAATGTACTCTCCGACTCCGCCCTCTTTTGCTGATTTGCTGGAGTTTGTGGGTTTTTTTTCGCGGGAGTTTGCAGGCTTTGTGGGGGGTTTGGTGCGCTGAGTTTCAGGTGTGGCGCTGTCGGGATTTGCCAATTTGTCACCCAAAGGCGCAAATCTTGAATAATTCAGAGTCCAGTTTTGCTAGTTCTGATTCACGTGAACGATTCTGATTCTGCATATTTCTGAATTGAAGGGCGCCTTCACTCAAGTACCGAATAATTAATTGCGATTTCTACAGGTTTTCAGGTGTGCAAGCCAATTTCCAGGAGTGACAGTCAATTTCTTCCGGAGTTTTACCCCAAAAACTCAGAGCTTGAGAAAACTCTGTCTTTTTTCACTGAGGCCCTTAAAAGACCTGGTAGTTTACCTTAAATTTGATGACTTGGAAGATCCAGGGACTGTTCGAGTCACTGGCCCCTTCAGGGATGAGATCAAGCTCCCGAGCCGAGGTCCATTTGCAGGTCGCTGCCGAGACTGCAGACCACCGAGCGGGTGGAGCAGCGAGTGTGGGCTCCCGCGTCTTGGCTTCACGCGGCACGCACTCGGCGAGATCTCATTCCGCGAGGCCCAAGGGGCAGAAGTACCTCCTTGGGAAGACTCGTTGGGGCAAATAAAAACCGTTTGAGTTCGCGCCTCAAGGGCAACAGCATAATTATTCCTATCCACTCAGGTGATTGAAGATTGCAACTTGAGAACGAAGCAAAAATCCTGGGCTGGCTGATTCTAGGCCCCTTTTGTCTCAAGTTTGACATGCATGTTCATGACTCGATTTTGTGGCTCTGGCTTTTTTTCTTTTGCTACCGGTAAGGCGGGAGAAGGGGGGGGGGCGTTGGCGAACCTCAAAGCGCTAGATTAGATGACCAAACCTCTATGGCGAGGTCTGGGACCCCTGATTTCGGGTTGTGGAATTGTAGGATCGGAAACCGCCTTTGGGTACATTAAAATTTGGTCAGGGTCCACAGCATGGAACATGCTCGATATGGGGTTTGCCTTTCACTTTCCGCTGAAAAGGTTTGGGGAAATCATGCGAGGGTTTCAGAGCCCTGGGGTTCCTTAGCCTCTAACTCCTAGGCTGGGATTGCGTGGTTGTGGGAAATTTGGTGAGGCTGCCGTTTGACTTCTCCGCCTTTAGGAAGGAACATCCCTAAACGGTACAGAAGGGCTTTCCACATCTGAAGAGGCCGCGCCAGCGACATTCTTATCACCTTCCAACGATGCACATCAGAATCACCTTGGTTGCCCTTTGGGGGGAGTCACTCTAGGGCCCCTTTTTGTTATCTCCTTCAACACACGGCCATATTCTTCACAACTCTATGTGGTGCAACCAAACTAGCCTCTTAAAGCCGTTTGGTTGAACATGACCTGCCCCCAACACACCTGCTTGTTGAAACTTTCAATACATGCCTAACGTCTCAAGAGTAGCGCAAACTATGTAAACAAAAAACACATTGTTGAATCCTGTGGCTTAAACCATAGGCTGTCACATAGTTATACTTTCAACCATGGCTCTCGCTCGATACATGCTTAAGCTCTCAACAGTGTTGTTCAACCGTGGTTTAAACCTTGCTCAGGCGCTGTTTAAGGAGCTCGACGAGCTCAAGTTCATGTCGGTGCAGGCGCTCCGGTCGCTCGCGGCCGCTCCGGTCGCTCGCAGGGGTCGAAGGCCTTTCGAGATTTAATACCGCGAGGCTTGGGAGAAACGGAGATCCCTTCGACCTTTCAGACACGCGGCCGCGAGATCGTGTTTTGGCAAGCTGAGACTCTCTTTCACAAAGTCAGGACTCAGCAACCAGATTGGGTGTCCTGTTTTTGGGTCGCGAGCCGTCTGGCTGGTGTTTGGTTTCGGAGCCAATGCCTGGGTTCCGAACCCTTGTGGCACCTGGAACAACGCTGCCTGGAACGTCACAATCCTAGGAGATACTCGTGGAATCAACAAAGAACTGAGCGAACCTTTTGCCGAGAAAGTCCCTTTAACGGTTTCCTTCGTTTTTTTCTGGCAAAGTTTCTAGAGTCCGTCGGGGATCCTTTCTTCTAACAATGCCTGACCGTATGTTCGGGTGTGTGTGTGTGTGTGTGCGTGAAGTCAGACCTTGCGACCAGGCCAAGAAGGAGCACCCCACCAAAACACATAGACTGAGCAGAAATGCAAGCAATCGACCTCACCTTTTGGTGGTCACTTCTTGGTCCACTAGCAAAGGTCCCAAAAGCTGATGTGGCCATGGGTCAAAATCCAAATCGTACCCCCAGTGAACATCCCACTCCCCACTAAGATGGGTTCCAAAATGGGTGGTGCAACCCCAAAATGGGATCCCAAAACGGTTTTGAAAACCACAGCCATGTTCTCGTTGGTTTTTTTCGATTTTCCTTTGGGTAACCCCAAAAGGGCACCGAGCCACGAGAGGCGCCACGCGTCCGTGAGGTCACCGCCCGGCGGCCTGCACCTTCCGTGAAGATCCTAGGGGAAGCTGAGCTCCCGGCGCATGCGGAGCCGCGGGCGTCGAATGTGAGGACAGGGGGTCACGGTGCTTCCCCGTTTCGCTGCGAAAAGAAAAAAAACACAACACATTTGGGGTGATGTTGAAGGGAAAATCCGGTAAAAGTAAGCTTTAGGGTGAAGTGTTTCAACTTCTGCGGTAGTTTAATGGGATGTGCAACCAATGGACTCTTCACGCAATTGTTTGAGGGGGAAGAGTGGGTTGTTCTACTTCTTTCCTTTCTTTCTTGGCAGGGGTGGGCGGACGGGGCCTTCCTGCCAGAGAGAGAGAGAGAGGGTTGCAACCCAATGAGGCAACAGACTCGACCTCCTTTACAAGTCCCTTGTTCTGTCAAGTGTTTTACTTTATTCTTTATATGGGGGCTAAAGTGGCAGGCAACACGAAACAACCTGCCTTCTTTGTATGCAGCCGCTAAGAAGCGTTGATCCTTGTTATTCGATCTGGAAGGGGGGACAGGGTGGGGCTGTTATTTGTTGGTTTTGCAATTCAGGACCCCCATTCAGACGCTTAGCCAATACAGAGTCAGCCACTGGAAGGTAGGGTTCTCCTTTTTGCATGTGTGTTGTTTTAAAGTTTGGTGAGTTTAGCCTTTCGTTGTTTGGCCCCCTGTTGTTTGCGTTTTTAGTGGGCAGTGTTCCTCCGTGTGAACCCGTTACAATCAAACCTTTAGAGTATGGGTTCTTCTCCATTTGTTTCTAGCAGTCCGTTGTACCAATCGACCATCAACAACCAGGACCTGTTGTAAGTGGGAGTTATAACCCAGACAGCTCAACAGGTGGCCGGACATCCACCCCAGACCACAAGGGTACGTTTGAGGGGCGACTTCTCAAGCCACAGGCCACCGCAAACGGCGGCTCGGCCGATTCTGCCAAGCTCGGCTCGGCCAATCGGTCTGTGCCGTGCGCTTGTCAACCTACCTGCGAGTTTGTGAGAATGCCCACGAATTTTGAGATCGAACCCCCTCAAAAGTGATTGAATAGAAGCAAATCTGCAAAATGATGTGATTTGAAAGTACCCAACCTCCCCCCCCCATTCCTCACTCTCTGAGTTCCTTGACTTTATCAGCTGCTTGGGAAGACCATGTTAGTGGCAACCCAAAAGTGCGGTTTCTTTGTTGCTTGCCAATCCACTCGATCGGACATGCGCATGTTTCAAGTTCCTTTAGACCCATCGGTTTCTGTCAGGAGCTCGGTGGTCGGCACGAGCTGCAGCTGTTGCCTCGGGGAGTTTCAACAAGAGGACGGAACGTCGAATCGAAATGTGGCCAAGTTGTTCCATTTCTTTCATTTCCGTTTCAGAGAACCATTGCTGTTTCATCTGATCTGTTTTTTAAAGCGTTGGTGCTGTTTTTTTTTTTGAAGGGGCGCTGAAGGGACACCACAATTCTGTGATCCCCTTGGAGACAAACTCAGTTGCCGGTTGCTAGGTAGAGCCTCCCAGCGGGCATTTGCATTGGGACTTATGTCCAACATGTCCAACCATGTTTGATGTGAGTGGCTTTTCCTTTGGTGCTCCTTCAACAACCCCCAAACAGGTCTTGAGTTCCCCAAAAAATCAAAAAAATCACCCGAAAGCAACCATATGAAAGGAACCCTATTGAGGGTCGCCCATGGATTGCCTCTCCTGTCAACTTGTGATTGTTATTTTTTTGTTTCTGGGAGGGGGGGACGGTTTGAAGTCAACGACTAACAAAAATACGTGCATGGTTCTCATAAAATCCACTGGTGGTCTAGCTTCTTTGCCTTGGGTGTTGGAGTTGCTTGTTGTTTGGGTTTCCCTCGATTGTGTTGATATAGATGTTGTTTTTTGGAATAGTTTTTGATCGGGGGCTTGGTCATTGCCTCGGTTCAGTTGTACTGTATTGTTGTTCTTGCTTGGTTTGGCCTTGAGTTGTGTCGCTTGCCTTTTTGGGTTTGTGTGCATGCGCGTGATTTTGTGTGTGTGTGTGTGTGATGGCTTTGCCCATCTTTTTTTTGTTTAATTTGCAAGTCAGGGTTTGGTTCTGGTCCTCAGGGATCCTTCCTTCCGTTTGCTGAACGGAATATTTGTGATGTTCCTTCTTGGTGATTTGTGTTGTTCCCTTGTTTTATGTTTGTCCTTAAGTTAAACCTTCTGTCACTACTGGACATACTTTGTCGAGGGGCCCTAAACGCAAATGGCTGTGAGCAAACCAATGGGATCCCATTTTGGGGTAGGTGAATTCACCACCCATTTTTGGACCTATTTTAGTGGTTGGATTGAATCGGATGTTCACCGAAATTCGATTTGGATTTTGACTCATGGCCACATCAGCTTTTGGGACCTTTACCAGTGGACCAAAAAGCGAAATCTTAAGGTGAGGTCGGTTACTTCCATTTTCTGTCAGTCTGTGTGTGCTTTTGTTGGGTACTCCTTTTTGGGCTGGTCGCAAGGGGGAAACCAAAAGCCAAACCTGCTTCTGCCAGGACTCGGTGGCAGTGCTGTACTGCGGCCACGTCTTCTGCGAGCTGTGCATCGCCCAGTGGTCGGTGTCCGGCCACGCGCTGGCGAGGAAGTGCCCGGTCTGCCGCCGGAGCTTTGTGCGCCTGACGTGAATGTGACAAAGCGAGCGCCTTTGGGCTGGGGGGGGGGGGGCGGGGGGTTGCGGGGAGCGGGTGGCCTAAGGCTCCAAAATAAAAGGGCTGTTGACCCCTCCAATGCAGACCGGGACCCGGACCCTCCAATGGAGAACCCCGACCAATTCCTCAAGGCCCAAAACCCGTCGAATCGGACCCTTAGGCTGTGACTCAGCTGGGGTCCCATGGAGCCCCAATTTAGAACGGCTTCCGTTTCAAGAAGCCACCCGCAAGTGGGACCCCTTCGCCCAAAAAACCCACCGGGGAGCAGAACAACCACCGCCGTTTAGTGGCGTATTAACAAACAAAGGGAAACGAACCCTTGGCCAACATTTCTTAAAACACCACTGCCATTTACAGGTCTGAGCTGACTTCCGAATCGCTCGGTTGATGGCCTGGTTGATTTAAGTCGGGGTACCCTGAATTGGTTGGGGGTTTGGGATTTGAGCCCTTAGCTCTTGTAGAGGGTAGATGGGAAGCCCCTCCCAAGCCACCAAACCATGCAAGCCATCGGGCCCCGAACCGCTGGGCGGACTTTGTGAGGTCAGAGAACGCCACGTGAGGCCCAGGAAGCACTCCGGAACGGGGATGGCTTCGTTGGGGATTCCCAAGCCTTCAGTTCAGCGATTCCAAGCCGTCCATTGTTTGGGTCATCGTTTTCCCTGTGCCCTAAGGGTCATGACCCCTCCAATGCAGACCGGGACCCGGACCCTCCAATGGAGAACCCCGACCAATTCCTCAAGGGCCCAAAAAACAGCAACCCATTTGGAGGGCCCAAAAACAGTCGGGACCCTTAGGGTGGTGTTCAAAAGAAATGCGAAGTGTGTAGCGTGCAGGGCGACAGTGTGATTCCAGTTTCTGATGATGCTTGCAGCGGCTTGTACGGATCCCCTGGGGTTCAAACCACCATTGAAACACTGGGGGTTAGTATCACCACCATTGTTTACCTAAGGATTCTCATCATCCAAGTTGGGTCCCATGGCCATTCTTTTCATGGGGGCAAGGAACCTTAGGGAACCATTTCCTGCTTGTTGGTGTTTGTCCCACCGGCAGGCCGTACTTCTTCGTGCAGACCAAGCGCAGTGGCTCAGGCTAGCAATCGCGAGTGGAGTTGGGGAGCCGGCTTGGTATACAAGAGGTATAATACCAAACGACGACCTGAAATGAGCTAGAATCAAACGGTATATAAGTGAAGGCAAGGAACCAGAGTCAAGTGCGACCGCCCTTTGTATTTGTTTGGTTTTGAGCAGACCGCTTTGGTACCAGGCTAATACGACTCATGTACCCTTTGGTTTTACCGTGTTGGCCGTTTTTACTTTAGACAACCAGTTTTTACTTGTAATTCCCACCTTTGGAGGAGGGGGAAAATGAGATTAGCAACCCGAACAAAGCCAATCGCACCCTCACCAAACAAGGGGCGTGGTTTTGTGGCGGGCCTCGTTAATGCTTGCAAGCGTGTTCGGACTTTGGCTCTTATTTACCCAGGACTTCCCAGTTGGCAATGTGTTTGCAACCAGTCCTTTTGCACTCGCTTGCGCGCGCGTGTGTGAACAAAGCGTGGCTGGTCCTGAAGTTGGTTCTGGGGAAGACCCTTTGGACCTAACTGACGACCCGTTAGGTCCAAATTGAGACTTTTTTGGCTTTCCATTTAACGTACAGGTGATCGGATTTTGCTCAGGAGGGAAGACTAATGTCGAAAGAGCGTTCCGGCTTTGCAATGGTCAGTTGGCAAACTGAGCGTGGCGATTCCCTTGTGGGATCGAGTCGAATAGAAATGGATCAGGGAGATCCCCTACCCGAATCATTCGGGTCGATAGAGGGTGTAAAAAATCATACCGTAACTTGGCCAAACATAGGGATAGTACGGACGCAAACCATTGCAACATAACTTGACAGAGGCGGTTCTGCATAAACACCTGTTTTCATATTTTGGGTCCAAACGGGCTTAAAACCCCGGACAACCCCCCGGACAAACCCCCGGACAACCCCCTTACAACATCACTGTGTCTGACGTCTCACTCCCTGAGGTCCCGGGTGTGAAACTTTTTGGGAGACGATTTTGGTGGTAAGTGGCGCGACAAGATGGTGACGTTTTTGGTTGCCGGGTGTTCAACTTGTTGGGAGACTATTTTAGTGGTAAGCGACAAAATGGTTACTGTTTGGGTTGCCAATCCGCTCAGGAAGTGAGTTGCGCTGAACGCCCACGATGTGTTTTCCTCATTGTTCCTTCGTGACACATCGACATGGCGTTGCTCAACACGAGGGACCTGCTGCCGGTATGGTTTCAAAGGGAAGCCAAAGGAAACCAAGCATCCGGAGGGGTCCCTACTTGGATGTTTTTGCCAAATTAGTGTTTGTGGTCAGCCACTTGGGTTAGAACACACTAGCAGGGTTAACCCAACTTAGGGAACTTAGAAACGGGCTATAGCCTAGGTTATCAACAACTTAGTCACTTGGCCGAACACCCAAGTAGCGTGGACCCCCCCACCAACTGTTTGCAGAGGCTTGGAGCCATTCCAGGCAACAACGTCAGCCCAGTGGTGCCCACCCAAGTTGGCTCTCGGCAAGCCCTCATATTCTTACCCTAGAAATGGCCCAACTGGTGGGTGCCCGTTCCAACGAATGGACTTGAGCTGTCAAAATATTCTTCCCCCTAAGGGTCATGACCCCTCCAATGCAGACCCCCGGACCCTCCAATGGAGAACCCAAACCAATTCCTCAAGGGCCCAAAAAACAGCAACCCATTTGGAGGGCCCAAAAACCGTCGAATCGGACCCTTAGGGCTTCGAAGTTTTTTGCCTGGAGGCTTGGAGACCATGCGGGACATCCTGCAGCAACGCTTCGAGCAAGAGGCCTTCAGGGTCCAGCGGTTGTTTCGGTTCTTTTTCCCCGCCCCCCCCGGGTGCTGTGTGGAGCCTTCAGTCAACATGTCCACATCACGAGGTTGCGACGTCACCCAAATGGAAGGTTCCGTTCTTGGGGGGGGTCTGCGGTTGGTGAACTATCAAAATTTGCCAGACATTGTGATGCAGCAGTGATACATAATTAAACAACACATATGTTCTTGTTGGGGGCCTATTCATGTTGGCTTGAAGGACAAGCAACAGAAAAGCCGCCAGTTTGCCCCCACCCCACTTTTGACACATGCCCATGTTTCCCGTCAGTGGCCTCAAGCATCTTCTAGGCACGCTTGAATGCGCTTCTCGTTGGGGTGATGTTTGAAGGGGTGTCCCAGCGATTCCATCTACCTGCTAAATGTTGAAGGGATACCTACTATAGTTCTATTTTACCGGGGTCAACTAGATGGTTGACCTTGGGTGTTCATTTCCAGCTTAATAAGTTACGAGTATCCTGGGTTAGGAACTTCTTGGGCCAAGTCTTAAGTTCGTACTTTTTTTTTTCCGGAGTCGACTTAACACCTTGGGTCGGGTTGAATTGAGTTTATTTGTTGGGGGGTGAAGGGGACATGAAGGGGATCTACTGCCAAGTAGATACCCTCAAGTAGCCGGACTTGAGCTGGCATGTTAGTTGGTTTGGTTTGTTGTTGTTTGGCGTGTTTTGTAATATGTTGCTATGTTTGTTAACTGTTGTTGTGAGTTGCTGTTTCTCGCGTCAAACCGGTTGATTGTGTTTGTGCTTCTTTCTGTGTTTGTGTAGCTCCATGGTTTGTTCTAATTCAATCCTTATTCCAGATGGACTATGTGGTTTTCCTTGCTGTACAGGTATCTCACAAAACACCGAACATCCGAATTTTGGACATTGGATTTTGGACATTGAACAACCCTCACTGTGTCAAGTGATTCCATAAGTTATGTAAGCAGCCAAGGGAACCATCCTTCAACAGCTGGAACATGGCTGGCTCCCAGCAAGCGGGGCTGGGATTCGCTTGTGTGGTACTTGAGTGTTCACCTCGTTAGTCAGTTGTTGGCAACCTAGGGGATGACCGACGCTGTGGCGTCAACCCTGTTAGTGGGTTACAAATCGGGTGCACGTCACAGATCGGTTTACAGCCGTTGACTGGTTGCAGCGGCTGAAGCTACTGTTTGGTATTTGAGCTGCAATTGGGTATGGGTCAAAATTAACGCATCAGGGGACCGCAGGTTTTGGTCCATGTTTCCACCAGGGTTCCATTTTGGGGTTACCCAATTTTTGACCCACAGCCAATTGAGCAGCCTTTTTTGCGGACAAGTTTAGGTTGGTCCACCACCTGCAAGCTTGCTGGGCTGGTGGCCCTGTGTGCAGTGCCGTGTGGCCGGCAGATGCTACAACAGTGGGCCTGGGGTTCAACCCACCAGTAAAGCAGTGGAGGTTCAAATATATAACCGCCCTTGTTTTCCTAAGGATTTACATCCATATTGGGTCCAGGGAACCCTGGAAGCGCAGAAGAAGGGCTGGTCCAACACCTTCATCATGACATCACCATGAACAGAAAGAGAATGGCGGTTGCAAGTCACCTTCTTGCAGAGTCTCAGTGTGGGTTAGAACTCTTGCTGGCTTGTCGTCACGTGGCTAACCACAATAAATCTGGCCTCATTACTTGCATTATTTTACCATGGTCAAAGTCAATCACTAAGTGGTGGAAGCAACCCCATTTTCTGACTTTGACAACCCCCAGAAAGTGTCAAACAGTAACCCCAGTAAATCACGCACATGGCTGAACGTCAGGCAGTGATGGCCATGGCACAGACGTGAAAGCGACAAAACTCCTCCGCAGGGTGTGGTCGCCAGCATCGTGGAGAAGGAGGATTTGGCGCTGGAGGAGCTTTTGTTTTTTTCGGGGGGTCGGCTGGGCAGCGGGGCTTTCGACATGCCGGTGCTTCTCGAGGATGCCCTTTTGTTGGGTCGTTTTACGTGAGAATCTGAAAACATATTTCCTGCATACCCCAGACGTAGCACAAAATTGGGACTTTCTCGATGTCCCACAAATCCGCTGACGACGCAGTCATGGTCTCATGTCCGGTGCAGGAGAGGAATAATTTGAACTAGGCTCACGTGATGGACCTTCAACAGCCAGACTCAAACCTGAGGTGCACCCCTGCAAATTAGCATGGAACCCACAAAAGCGGGGGTCTTCCACAAGGAGCAATCTCGAGAACTCAGGTTTTTGTGGGTTCCATGTGAATCTGCAGAGTAGTGACCTAATCCAAAACCCGGGGCAGATTTGAATATGGGCCCTTTTCGTTGATTTGGGGGTCAAAGTGAACCTGAGGGATGTCTCCCGTGAACGTGCCTCCCGTTTCTGTGGCAGCAGTGAAACCTGACTGGCCTTTCCCCCTAGTGCTGCAAGGACCCTATAAATTCCGTGCCCATGCTGCAATGGAAACCCAGGATTTCTACACCTCTAGTTGATTCATTTGGGGGAGGCGATTTTCTTCTGTTTAGGACCCATATATATATATATGAATCTACCAGGTTTGACTTAAATCCGGGGTCGTCCAATCCATTCCCTAAACATAGAATTGGGGCCAAGGGGCATTTCGACCTGGTAGGTCTCCTTTGCGGTGTAGACTCGGACAATGCATTGATTTTGGGCGCCCCCACCTCCAGTGCCCCTTGCTTTCAACCTGAACTTCCATCTTAGCAAACATTTATGCCTCTCCCCTGGTTCGATACACAAATTGAGACATTGTAGCGTTTCGGTTCCGAGCAGAGATCAAGATCGGTAGTTTCATCGAGCAGAAATGTATCGAGCAATATCAATGGAGGCTGCAGGAACTATTGGAGGGGGGGGGGACTGGGGAACCCCGAAACCAGATTCCAAAAACAGGTGGTGTATTCTTCGTTTTGTTTCTTCCTCTTTTTTTTCCCCGTGGACGAATTGCACTTCAAACGGTGGTGTTCCTCTTGTTTCTCCCGTAAAACCCACCACCCCAGCTCCCAAAAGACGCCACGCCCCCCCCGCCGCGAGGACCACCTGGTGGGCCGCAAGCGTGGCCTGGTGAAGCTGTCCTTCCAGAACACCGAGGGCATGAACCGGGCCCGGGACCTCGGAGCCAGTCCTCGGAGGAGTCTCGACTCGTTTCCCGTGGCGACGGCTTCCGCGGTGGGGATTCGATGCCCCAAGGAAAAAGCGGTGGGGGGTTGGAAGGTCCACCAAAGGAGTTTGGTGGGACACATTTCTTTGGATCTTAAGACTTGAACTTCTGAACGGACATGTGTGTGTGTTGTGTGTGTGGTGTGGTGTGGTGTGGTGTGGTGTGGTGTGGTGTGGTGTGGTGTGGTGTGGTGTGGTGTGGTGTGGTGTGGTGTGGTGTGGTGTGGTGTGGTGTGGTGTGGTGTGGTGTGGTGTGGTGTGGTGTGGTGTGTGTGTGTGGTGTGGTGTGGTGTGGTGTGGTGTGGTGTGGTGTGGTGTGGTGTGGTGTGGTGTGGTGTGGTGTGGTGTGGTGTGGTGTGGTGTGGTGTGGTGTGGTGTGGTGTGGTGTGGTGTGGTGTGGTGTGGTGTGGTGTGGTGTGGTGTGTGTGTGTGTGTGAACACCGAGTGAAATTCAAGTGGCCCTTTCTTGGACTGGAACATGTGTTGCAAAGCCCGAAACGTTTTTTCAAGCCTTTCTTTGGAGCTGTGGTAAGTTCTTCCCTGGTGGCAAACTTGAACCGGGGGCTTGCAGAGTTCAAGTAGATGACATAGCCTCGAGTTCTTTTGGGAACCTTGTGCCGAGCTGGAATTGTCGATTTAGCACACAGCATTGGGCCTCAAAACCCATGCGCGGCACCACCCAGTTGCACACAGTTTTGGCGAGCTCTTAGGTCTTTCAACACCCCTCCCCTGTGGTCGTTGGCTTAGGGCTTAAGTCTGGTAGCCCTCAGTTGGTGATTGGGGCGTTGTGAAATTCGAAGGAGCCCCTGGCCTGGAGGTTTCCTTCGGTTTCCTTCGGTTTCCTTCGGTTTCCTTCGGTTTCCTTCGGTTTCGTTTGGTTTGGAACAAGCGGCCAACCCCTCCAACCGTTCGGCTCCAATGGGGAAGCTGAAGTGTTGAGTCCCTGCTTGAGGCCAGGCCCGAAGACCTTGCAACCACTCGAAACTCGGGGAGACGTTGGTTTTTAGCCCAGACTTCTTGGTACACTTCGGATACCTGATGGTTTATGGGACGCCAACAAAGAGGTTGAGGCGAGAGAGAAGACGTGTTGCAATTCCGCATAGCTTGGTGCACTCCCGCTGGTGGAAGAGAACCCTTTGTAAAGGGAGGCAGTGCACTTGTTGATTTCTCCCGAACGTGATCGGGAATGCAGGAGATGGTTGGTTCTCTAGCGGACCCTACCGACCCCCAAAGTTGACCCTCTCCAACGCTTAGGGTCTGACTTCATGTTGATAGCAACCCCTAGAGCTGGTTGTTGTTTTTGCTGGGATCGATCTTCACATTGATTTTGCTTTCACAGGTTCACCTGGCCAACTGCCCAAAGCCGACCTTTTGACCTTTGCTTCTTTCTGTTTTCACGAAAGCTAGCTTTAGCTAGCTGAAGTTTCTCCTTGCGTAAGCAAGGTAAGGGGCTCAAATGCCGAAAGATTGATTTTTTCAATTATTTGAGCCGAAAAGATTGAAAAACATCAATTATTTAGACCCCCCCCCCCCCCCCCCCCCCCCGGTCTCAGGCTCGATTCCTCCCTGGTCCATCCCCCCCCCCCCCCGGGCAGTGGCTCAGTGTTCAGCAGTCTCGGTTTGCCCGTTTTGGACTTGGTGCTACGAACTTTTACATGTTCCACCGATTCAGCTTGTTCATTTGAGACCTCAGTCTTCTCAGTAAACCACCTCGCAAGAATCTTTGCACACGCAGCATGCAGAACCCAGAGGTGCTTTAAGACAGCTTCTGACGCCTCTCGTTGTTTTCATTTTTCAAGGTTTGCCACGCCACCATGTGCGTTTGCGTGTCGCATCCTACGAATCTTGCCGGGCCTCTCGTTGTACACAAGCTACCCATGAATCCACTCTGTCACCGACCCATCTCATGCAACAACTGCTAGCTTTCGTTCACCCGCTCCTCAAGTGGTCAACTCTTCATCATGGCCGCAAGAAGTGGATCCCCACCCCCTTAAGAATGGAATTGGGGGAGGGGGGTGATGCCTGGAAATCCATTTCCGGTTCCATTTTCCCTCTTATTGGGAAGAGTGGACTGATGGAATTGAGGGCCCCCCCTCCCCCCTCTCTCGTGTAGTGGGAATTTTCTGGGTCCCTTGGGGCAACAGCTTCGTTTTGGGTGGCACCCCGCCGAATTTGTCGAGGCGCGGATGAACCTCTTTCAGGAGATGCGCGGCAAGAGGACGCCCAACTCCCCCCTGCCCTGCCATCTGCCTGCCTTGGCACGCTAGGGCTGGTACCTAGAGTCCATTTCTAGGGGTCATAACCCATGAATTTTGGGTAATGACTCATTCTTGAAGGGTCATGGAGACTCCAGGTACCTGTTTTCAGGGTTGGTTTGGTTTGGCAAGGAAAGTCCAAGCCTCTCGATGTCAAGATCCGAGTCCGTTTGGCAAGGAAATCGCCTCGTCTGCTGTTGCCTACGAGGCATGTCACTGACCTGAGCAGGACGTGGATGTTGCCTTAAGTGCGTGACGGTTAGGCCTACACATCTTACCAACCGATGGGTTTGGGGCACTGTGAGATGTCGCGCTGAGAGCTGCTCAAACTGGGCTGTTCAAAGGCAATCCAAGATCCTTGCCTTGGATTGCGAAAGGATTCGGCTGACTTTGTAGCGGCTTTCCGACAGGAATTCTGGATTTGGAATTCAACATCCAATTGAAATGAGCTTCTGGTTTGGGTGACTTTCGAAGGGGAAGATCAGAAGATCCTGTCCCAGAAATTCCAGAATATACTACACCTACAGCGTAGGCAACCAAGGCAAACCCTCCAACATTGATCTGGAATTCAAGTGGCCACTGAACATGGGGTTGGTCAAATGGATTTGAATGTTTTGTCAGGGTATGACATGCTGAGAAGGTACCATAGCAACACCCTAGAAGGAAGCCCTCCATTTTGGGGTCCACATTTCTTCGACGTATTCTCCTCTCATTCGCCACGTTCCCGCGCATCCGGCCTTCCGCGGCTCAAAAGGCTAGGCTCAGCAGGTTTCGCGCCCGGGGGGAGTTCTGCGCCGAAGTCAGCCGGGCAGCTCGAACGAGACGTCTCTCGGAGTTTCGGAGTTCGAGTCGCCGAGTCGTTCGCATCCATCGCCGAGTCGTCCGCATCCAATCGTTTCCATTTGCTCAAGAATGGACACCCCGGATTCATAAACCCCGCCCCCTCCTCCCCTGCCCCTCAAGGTCACAAGGTCTGGTCTGTCATCTTTTCAAGGTGCCCCCCATCGCATGTTTTGTTGTTTGCCACGGGACTTAAGAAAAATGGAGGGTCGCCAATGATCGGATCTCCCTTGAGACCTTTTGCTCGGGAGAAGAGCAACACCCAGGTGTTTTGACCTCTATATAGGCATGTTTGTTGTTGGGAAACATTTTACATTTTTGCTGATTGTGGTTTAGTGCTTGAAATCCCCACTTAACTGCTAAAATTTGTTTTTTGCTCCCCTTCCAACGTCAACCAAGTAGGTTTTACATGATCCTTCCCCTGGTTCCCTTCAGCGGTAGTGCTTCCAGCACTTGGCTCACTATTCTATCTTCTGGACTGAATCCCGTAGATGGACGAAATTTTGCGCCACCCAAGAAACCATAAGAAACCCTGGAATGATTCGATCCCCCTGCAAATACCAGCCAACGTTCTGGTTTCAACCATGGTTCTATTTCGTGGTGCGAAATGGATTGTTTTACTCTTTGTGCAGACCAGTTTGGTGGAAACACATGGGTTGAGCGTCCTTTCTTTCGGGAGTTCCGGGAGTTTCGGGGTGCAGGCCGGTGCCCCACGAAAGGGGAGCGAGTTGGAGCCCGGTTGGGAGGTATGGAGGGGCTGGCTTCCCTTCGAAGGGCTTCAAAGCCTTAAATCAATCCACTTCACGAGCTGAGGGTTACCCTGGTGCAACGGTTGGGAGGGGCGATTTTCTCCAATGCACTGAATGGGAGGGGGGGTTTTTGAAGATGCGCGCTTGGCGGAATGGATGGATTTTTTGCGCGACCTGTTCAGGTGTGTGTGTGTGTGTGAAGCACCCCGGACGACTGCAAAAGGGCTGCTTCGGCAGGAAAGACTTTTCACTTAGCAGAGGGCAGAGGCACCCACATCTCCCCAGCAATGTTGACCCAGGATTAATAAACTCGTCCAATTCTCAGGGGGGTGTTCCCTCCAAAAGTGGTCTAAAAGGAATTGGACACCCCCGAATAAAAGGCAACGCAAGGTTTATTAATCCGGGGTTAACTTCAATCCAGCTGGGGAAGATGAAGCCTAGGGCCGGTCCCGGGGCCCAAGGTGACCAAGGTGCGGCCGTTTTATTTCTCCACATGGATTTGGGTAGGCCATTTTAATCTTGGTGGCTCACAGCCATCTGGCTCCTTAGCTTTTTAGCCTTTGAGGGTTTAGTGGTAGTTTCCATTTAACCCAGTCGAGTCAAACTTTTAGCGGGGGATCTGAGGGCAGCCCAGCAATACCTGGTGCAAAATGGTGGCTCGGCTGATGTGCAGTGGGAATTTGCTGTCTGGTCAACAGCAGGTACCTGCAATTTTAAAGGTCCAACCGGCTTGAGGCATTCATCGTTGATGAGTACACCGATTTGAATTGTTCGACAACGTTTCTTGGCTTGTAGTCCTTTTTAAGAAGAATATCTAAATGACCTTTTCAGCTGTTGCCATTTTGTTTTTGCAATTCTGATTCTTTGGCTCTTGTGTTGCGGCGGTGTCAGCCAAAGTCAAGCCATTGCAACGAAAAGATCTGGACCTCATCTTTGAGGTTTCAGCTTTTCTAGGGAAAGAACTGGTAATGTGCGTATGTGTGTGTGTGTGTGTTTTCTGAGGAAAGGGAAAGCCACCGTTTTGGGGTTCCCTATTTTGACACACCGATTTATCCTTCTGAGTGCTTTCTGGGCCCCTGAGGCGCGATGCCGGGCACGAACTGCCAGAAAGCGATCCAGCGCTCGTGGCGCGTTTTGGCAATAGAATTCCAAGCCGTCTACGCTGGGTGTGTGTGTGTGTGTGCTCAGAACAGTTGATCGAATCTAAACAAGTTCTGTTTGGTATGTCCTGGGCTTGTGACAGTGAGAGTAGGTGATGCGTTCCGAAGGATGTCGAAAATTGGTTGTACTAGGTCCCCCAATAGTGCCCTTTCTCTCCCCTTTTTTTGGGGAGGGTTCCCCTACTAAAATAGACTACAGAAAAAAGTTGGTACACTTGGTATCGGATCGAGCTTTGCTCGTGGGCCAGGCTGTGGTCCGAGAAGAATGCAGGGGGAAATCCGGAGGAAGCTGCGCCTTGGCCAACGGCCAGGAGGGTGTTGGGGACTCGTTTGTGGATTCCCCCCAAGGAAGAGAAGACAGACCTCACTTCCTGAGTTTCTGGCATTTTATACTCTTTGGCAACACCTTTTCTTTGTTAAAACGCCAAGCCCATGATATTTTTGCCATTCAATGAGGAAGTAAGCCTACTCAGGTTGGGAGTTTGTTGCCGAGCATGGAACCTTCGCCTCTGGAAGCCAGTCCCGCGGGCTTGCTTGCCGATATGGGGCGTGGGCCGCGGTTGGTGGGGCCCTCTTTACCTGGAGTCTCCCTCTGACCCTAAAAAAAAAGATTCATGACCCCTTTATTTTGGGTAATGACCAACCATTTTTAAAGGGTCATGGAGAATGCAGGTACCATGTTTTTTGTTTTGTTTTTTTTTAATCAGCAGCCCAAGACAGGCGTCCAGAGCTTTTTCTATCGCCGTCTGGGAAGGGGATTCTACTAAGCGCAAAACCCTGGACAAGTGTGGTGCCTGAATTTTTGTTTCTTCCCCGACTCTCAGCGTTTAGGGCAGCCGCGCAGCGCGAACAGTCTATTGCTGTTGGGTTGTGAAATGAGAAAGGGCAATTTGCAACCTGGAGTCTCCATGACCCTTTAAAAATGGTTGGTCATTACCCAAAATAAAGGGGTCATGGACCTATTTTTACAGGGTCAGAGGGAGACTCCAGGAAGAGCTTCATTTTATCATGAAGCCCCTGAGAGGGGATGCCTTCGACATCGGAAGCTACATTCACAGTTCCTCCTTGGGTCACATTCGCCGAAGTGCCGAGAACTTGGATGTCCGTTGCCAAGTCGTTTTGTTGGATGCCACGGTAAACTCCACTTGGGTGAACGAGTGAGTCAGACCCTAACCAACATTCTAGCTGGGCTGAACACGCAATGTGCGAAGCAATGCTGAGAAGTCGTAGGGTCTCACTCTTTGCCCTCTCTCGTTCGAATCAAAATGGACAGGCAGGTTTTAGATTGATATCATCCGCTTCCAGAAAAACAAAAAAAACAAGTCTGTCCCACTGCATCCCAGTTACCACTATAGCAGGTAGCCAGCCAGTATCATTTTTGTGTTCAAAGGCTTGAAAACAATGGGGAACTCCATCAGTCACTCCGGCAAGCTGCAAGGAAGTGGTGAAGCTTTTGTGTCACGCGCTTAGTTGAGCTGCGTCACACGCAACTGTGCGCGAGCAACAGAAATATCCTTTTGTGGGTTTCCAAGAATCAGGGAGCCCCCAGTTGGTGGTTTTGAAGGGAAACGATAAGAACACACGCACACACACTTCTTCTCTTTTTGTAGGGGACAAACACCGAGTGTTTGTCCGCAAAGGGCAATATTACCAGGGTGTCGATTTTGGGTAGGACCATACTGGTTTGCAGGTTTTGGGTACCGGTCTTGGGTAGCCAGCCCCCTAGCGGTTTCTGGAAGAAATGCAGTCGAAAAGTCATGAGGCAAAGGGGATGTCCTTGTTTTGGGTGTTCGGCCAAATTAGCAAGTTGTCAGGAACCTGGTGGGTTAGAACCCAGGTGGCTAGCCACCTACCAACTTGGCCAAACATTCAAGTAGTTTACACACGCACGCACACAGCAAGTTGCCTGGAGAACATGTGTAAGGGTTTCTCGTTTCAGAAAACGCCTTCCTCAAGTCCCCAACAAAATCCTTTTCGCCACCACCAAGCAATTTGCGAGCAGAATGGCCGCTGCGCCCGCCCGAGACAAAGCGGCTCAAACACAGCGGCCGTTTTTTTTGTTCTGGGGCATTCCCTGGCGAGTGTTCTGTTCAGATTGCCATTTTTTGCCGTTTGCATCATTCGCTGGGTCCTTGTTGGTAAGTCCAGATCATGTAGGTATGGTGTGAAATTAGTGTGATGCTTTGGACATCAGAAATACATTGGCTCTATGCAACGACCAGCCATGGAGGTAAAATCATAGCCGTATGGTTTGTCTTGAAATGGAACAGACAAATTGGTGGATTTCCCTTCCCCTTAAAACAATCCCCAGCTGGTTCCGAGCCAAATGAACACGTTGGCCCATGCAATGCTGAGAGAATTGTGTTCAACGAGCAAGATCCGCCCTATTCGATGAGTTCGAGTTTTCGCAGCCGTAACCAGCGAGCAACAAGCAGGATTTCCCTCGTTCCCTTCTGAGAGGAAAGATCAAACAGCAAGTCCCAAGCTGCAACCTAGCCTGTGTTCCTGTTGTCAAGGGCCCTATGTTGGCCCCTGCAATGCCAATAGTGGCCAATGGGCGACTAAGAGGGTCTAGGGGCTAATACGGTTCCTTTAGGCGCAGTGGGGTCCACCTCAAAACTTCCTGTTTCACCAAGAAAGGCAAACCTGCAAAGTAGGACTTGCGACATCGATCCGTCCGAAGCGTGAAAGGAAAGCATTGGCGATGAAACACGTGGGTGTTTGAACTATACGGGAGACAGGGGTTCTTGCTTCTTGGACATGCCCCACATAAGCCGCAAATGGATCAAAATAGCTCAAAATAAAGCAAAATAGTCGAAATAGATCAAGTTAGTTCCTTTTAGAACGAATTAGTCGGGGAACAAGGTGAAATCCCAGGGTGTAATACCTTTTCCCTCTGATGGAAGAAAAGTCTTGGGGTGAGTGGTATGAAAACAGCAAAATCTTGCACATCGGGCGCAGTGGAAGAGTAAGGCCTTACTTTTTGGGTCTCCGCTTGTTGGTTGTCGCTGGCGGGATTTGAGGCATGAGCCCACCCATTGAGAAGATGGACAGCTCCCTGAACCAGCTGGTGAACGTGAGGCCGGGCAGCATTCCTTGCCGTCCAAGTCAGATCCCCACACCTCCCCTGGAGTAGACTTAGGATACACTTTACATTTTACCAGTGACTCAAAGGGAAGCAAACAATATAATATACATTCTATAACTGGTCCTTAGTCTAATCATGTCCCCGCGTTTGTGTCTTTGGCCTTTTGACCACGATGTTTTTTGCTTAAGGAAAGGGAGGGGAAAGAGAGTGTAATCCGAGAGTCTTGTTCGTGGATTCTGTCGGGTGTCAAAAGGCAAATCCTTTATGGAGCCCTGGTCAATACATGCGTTCCATTTGCTGAAGAAATTCCTGTGGCGTCATCCATGCGGGTTTGTCTCAAAATGAGGGGACGCCACAAATCATTGGCTTTGCCTGGTCAAGTGTGCGGGTGTTTTGAAATAATAATGTTGATTGGGGATCCTTTGGTGGACATCATGTAAATGGACATCTATGTCCACCACATGGCGGAGGCGGAAATCAGGAGCCTCAGGGCGCTGGTTGCTCTGCACGCAGTGAAGGAGCAACTGAAGGTGGAGATGCAGCTCAGCCCACCACGGCTTGGCGCTGCAAAGGCGACAGAGTCTCTGGATCAGGCTGCTACCCCGTCGACGCGAAAAACGGAGTGGGCTGCCTGGATGGTGAGGGTGGAGAAAGGCCATCCACCACGGGGGCCGCGCGAAGTTTGTTCAGCTGGGTGGCTTTTGTACCTCGAGAGCAAGTTCATATGGAGCCCAAGGGATGTGGAAGCCTGGTGGATCCAGGGGGATGATAAGGGCTCCAAGCAATGAACCGGATCGCTTCCTCTGTCCAAGCTCCATCGACGTGCCCTAAGCTGGTTATACCCAAAGGGCCCAGTTGCCCCCTTTTTTTCTCCTTTTTTTGGGGAGAGTTCCCCGTTAAACTCAACCAACCAAAAAAGGATGCACTTTTTGCCCCATGGCCACGGGGCATCTGAGTGTTGTACGTTGCACCAGAATATCTAGGTCCCCTTTGGAAAAGGGAGTCCCCAGTAGTGCCCTTTCTCTCCCCTTTTGTGGGGGAGGGTTCCCCTACTAAAATAGACAAACCAGAAAAAGGTTGGTGCCCTTTTTCTAACCTCTCAAATCTGGAAGACCTAGGTTGCTTTGCAAGTGCTCCATTCAAAGGCAGCATTCGAAGACCCGCTATGAAGCCCTTTGTTGGTGCTCAATGGCCACCAGTCACCTTCGAGAATGCCAAAATGGCCATGGCGTTCGGGGCTCCTGAAAAAAGATCTGGCCATTTTGCAACCAGTTGAAACATGTTGCTTTTTCAACACCAAATAAAGTTGGACACCACCATTTACAAGTTGCAATGCTCAGGTGCATAATGTAAGGATCCCTGTTGAGCTCATACTATTTGCAATCTTCACAACGAAGCTGATCCGAGGGTAAAAATCGTGCTCTGGATGAGAGTCCTTTACTTGGATCCCTGAAACCAGGTTTCGACACTGCTGAAACCCTCACCTGTGGGAAGGCACCTGGGAGATTTTGTTTTCTCTTTGGGAGGTGCCATGTTAGAGTGCGTGTGTGTGGAAATCCGGGTTCCGGCGGTTCCGGGGCCAACTTCTGCGAGGGAATCCCCTTGACAGGATAAAGAACTAGTCCTTGAGATGGCTCACTTCGATCATCACGGAAAGGGGCATTTCCCACATGAGTCTCGCTTCCTGCCATCCAGGCACCTGTCCTTGTCGACCAACTGCATCGACAAGATGATCTCTTTGCCCGCCCTGAAAAACATCGAGGCCCCGCCGTCAGAGCACGCAAGTCTACCCAGGATTCGGGATGATCATGAACCGCTTGCTTGTGGGGTCTTCTTTCGAAATGTGTTATATTTCAAAGTTAACTAACTAGGAACCAGAACATATACAAAGCATGTTTGGTGTACCCTGGGCCCGCGGATGGTCATGAACCTTAGGAGCTTATGCAGAGCTGTCGATTATCATTTTAAAGAGAGGCAATAAACCTCAATCTACTTCAAGGAACGTGGTCGATCAATTTCTTGCACTCTGGAGCATCTGAAAGGAGCCCATTCGAGGCCAAACGGGTCACCCTGCATGAGGTTATAACGTGATCTGTGTTGCTTGTTTCTGAATGATTGTTTAAACAGCGGCTAATCAACGGGGTGCGCAATTGGACCCTTTCTTTTCGAAACTCCCCACCTGGCAGTGAAACGTTTGAGAACCTGATTCCAGGGAGGGGGTGCGTGCCTGCTGAAATGCTTGTGTGTGAGTGTGTTTTGTTTGTCTTGTTTGGTTGAGAAACAGAGCAAGCAAATGCAGTTCATCAATGGGATGTGTTATTGTTTTTCCTGATGAGCAACCATGTTGCGCTTAAACAAGCACACAGGAACACTGCTAATACATTCTAGACCTCCTCCAGTGTTGCCCTTTTTCTGTTCTTTGCTGGAGAGGGATTCTTTTAACATCAACTACACAACAACAGATAGTGAACAGATCCCGCCAAACCCTTCGATGCCTTCACGCAGTTGCTGTGAGACACTCGTCAACAGGTTCCCTTGGATGACCACCCCACTTACAAAATTAAGATATTTTAGTAAATCAGCCCCACTACACGGCCCAACAGCCAATACAAAACCAACAGGCCAACCAAAACCTAAACCTTAAACCTTAAGCCCTGAACACGACAGCACAAACAGCCAGCTCAACAGCCCAACAGCCCAACAAAAGCACAGCCCAACAACCCTACAGTTCTATTCTTCACAGATTCGGAACGTGGTGACCTGGCCAGGTCCTAGAAACAGCTGCGCAACCCTCCCCTTTTCACCATGAAACCTGACAGAGAGGCTCCCTTTCGGAGCCGTCAGGTTGGTTCCATGTGCTTTGGGAGGGCGTTTAAAACACGGCCGGCCAGATCTTGTCCCTGGGCCGGAACCTCATCAAGAAGATCTCAGGTCTTGAGGAGATCGGCTCCACCCTGAGGCCGGCGAAGAGGAACTGGAGGGGGGGGCTCCTGGGAGGCCGGCTTTTTTACCCACGGATCTGGGTTGTTCGGATGTTTGGGGCAGTGCGGCATGGAAGTTTGGGTGTTTGTTCGGATGTTTGGCTTCGGCTTGTTCTTTTGGAGGGGCAAGATGTTTCTCTCTCTCTCTCTCTCTCTCTCTTTCCCCCTCTCTCTCCATCTCTCTTTCTCTCGCTAGAACATAGTTATATATATATAGTATACATACATACATAATACATATGTGAACATATATCTATATATATATATGGGTGTGTCTTTTTTAGGGAACCCCCATTATGGTGTCTTTCCCTGTGAGGTTCCCTTCAAACCCACACAAACACACGTTTGCTCTCCCAAACAGACGAGCCACCCTTAGATATCTTCAGATCTACAATTTCCCGCACGAAAACCAGGTACTCACAAAGAGAACAGGGTACCTGGGTACCCACTTATCAAACAGGGTAGCAACTCCAAAAAAGAGGAGCCCGTATTTCCTTCAAACCCGCAGACCTCCCCAGATGGGCATGGGTGAATATTAAACCATCAATTGGACCGCATGGTACTATTGAGGTGGCAGGGTCTCCACATTTCTATGTTTGCCCCACATCCAGATGTTTCCTCTCGCCTTGCTAGGGAGCTTTGGATCTCCTATAACCAGATCTCCACGCTGGACGGCCTCGCTCCCTGCGTTTCCTGGCCAAAGCGGACGGGAGGATCGGTATGCTGTTGGGGTCCCCCATATTAGGCGGATTTTCTGGTTGACTTCCCTTGAAACCAACCCTAAAAGTATTGAAATAAAGTTTTGGTTGACCAAATTAAAGTGGGTCTCCTTTTCGTGTGATGGTTCACAGGGGAACATAGGGAGCCCTGCTGCTGGATGACCGCCGACAGGTCTGGTTGTGTTTTTGAGCGATTTGTTGGCCTTGCCTAGTAACGCTTATTCGGCCTTATTAGGGCTTTTTTTGCCTTCAGGCCCACCAAGCCCACTCCTTTCTGGGGTTTTGGGGTTCCAGCTGGTCTGCTACGGGGCAGCTTTCAGGGTCACCAAAATGGCGCTCTTTTTGGACTTGTTGGTACGAAAGCTGAAGCTGGCTCTCCCCTTTTGGTTTGCAGGCGTCATCAGAGTGGCTTTGGGTTTGTTCGGGCTCTAAACATGGTGGTTGTTCTGGGGTCTCCTCCAAATCTGGTTTATAATTACTTCGGCAGAGACTGGGTGTGAATCAGGGTCGGAACATCTGATTTTCTGCCCCCGGTGGGCCAAGTTAGGTGAAGCTCACGACCCTCTTCATCTCCAACAACAAGATCAAGGCACGGAGGGCTGCCGCGTCAGTACCTGGCTGGATGGCTAGAAGGGCGTTTTGAGGGTTGCTCCTTGAGAGCTTCCCTTTCCGAGAAAAAAACAGACAGACTTTGTCCAAAGCGAATCGACCTCTTGACCTGTTTTCCCCCGGTGGTTTACTTAAGGTTCAGGATGCGGTTTTACTCCCGTTCGGCCACTGAGACCATGACGGCACATCGCAGATCATGACGGTGGGATTGTATAACTGGGCCGAACTGTAATCATGTTTCTGGCTCACTTAGTGTGAGCCAAAGACAGGTGCGTCCCGTGCGTGCATTGTTGCACTTAGCCCAATAGCTAGCTAGTATTCGGGCTGCCAGCGAGAGACTGATGTTCCCATTTCCCGAGACGCAAAGGTACAAGCCAGCTGGGGCATATGTCATGAGGAATTGCTGAGAGGGGTATTGGGTATCCTGAAGCCCCGGTACCTCTAAGCACTGAGTTCAGATGCCTATGTGTCTTGGTTTTTCCACTGATGCAGGGATTTCCCCGTTTGAGAAACAGCAAGGTCTAGAGCCTAGGAAGCTTGTTGGTTGCCTGAAACAAGTGCCACTGGGCTCTTGCCGTGTGCATCGACGTATCGTGCAGAACCTGAACAACTCAGAAAGGCAAGTCGCACAGACTTGGATATATCTTGTTTTAGGGGGCCCAGCAAAAAAAGTTGTTCCTCTTGGTTTTCCTCAGAAAACACAAAACAGGGGGGGTACTGGTACCATGGGTACCCTCAAAAAAAGACGAGCCACCCACTTGAGCTACATTTTGTTTGCATTTTTGCTTTAGAGATTGGAAGTCGGAGCCCAGCAAGGGATTGGTTGGAAGCCTGGGGTGCTCCATTTGGCCATATGGTTGTTCATGGTTTTTTCCCTTGGAGTTTCCGGGATTTGTTCTTCTAGAAGCTGGTCCGGCTTGGTTTTATCGGGCTGAACAAGTTCGCCAAGCCTATATATATGGCTGTATAGTCAGAGCACCAGGGGCCCCGAAACTTGAGAGCCCCCGGGAACGGGATCTGCGGAGTTTTTTTTTTTTTTTTTTCCGGCTCCACTGAGAGTGCCGCTGATGGGTTCTTTTTCTGAGATTCCTTTTTCGGGCGTAATTTTAATGTCAACCAAGGTAAGTCCAATTTGGGGGGGGTGGAGCAATGCGGCGGAAGTATCAAGCCAGAGTGCTTGTTTTTTTTTTTTTTAATGGCCGCTGGGTCTGCAAGTCGGATGAAGTTAGTAACTTGCCTTTGGCCTGAGTTATGACCCACTTGCAAGTTCCCCTTTCAGCGGGGTTCACCTTGTTACTAGCAGCTAGTTGGTTGTTACCCAAGTCATAGTGAAACTCATGCTTTCCTTTCTGAAAACCGCAAGACTCCACCTAAGAAATCGACGAACCCAAGTGTGCGTTTCTCAAAATGATGTTCATGGGGGCTGGGGGGGAGGGAGGGAGGGGAGGGGGGGGAGCCCAATAAAGCCGTTATAAAGCCCTTATGAAGCCCTTTTTTGGGGCTTATTTGGGCTCCCCCCCCCTCCCTCCCCCCCAGCCCCCATAAAATGTGGAAGCCAGAGAACCGCCGCCATGTCCAACCAAAGGCACCCGGAGAAATCAGGACTGGCCGGAGCTGGACAAGCTGCAGGCCAATCAGGACGGGAGCACTTGGTTATCCCAGTTGGCCTTTCTCGAACAGATTCCCCAGCGGGCCAGTTTATGCCAGGGTTGTGGGATCAAGGGGTTTCTCCCCACTTCTGTGATACAAGGGAATCCCCCTTTTTATGAACACAATAGTCTTTGGGAAGCCCTTTTTGTTGTATCACAGAAGTGGATTCCATTCCCCACAGCCCTGGTTTATGCTATTTGAGACCGTGGCATTCACAGAAGATCAGACCGTCCACAGCCTTTCCCCAGTTGCCCTGCGGCGCCCCTTTTTTTCCATGTTTTTTTTGTGGAAGGGGTTCGCTTTAAACTCAACCAACCACAAAAGGATACTTTTTTTCCCATGGCCACTGGGCATCTGAGTTTCAATGGTTCAACCCCCTCGCCCCAAAGGCCTAAGGGGGGTTGGGGCTGATACAGAGCAGTTGAAGGAGAACAGGTTGCTCCCCGCAAAGTGTCCAAATGGGTGTGCTTTTCTTTAAGGGTACTTGTTCTTTTTTGGTTTTAAAGGAACGCCACAAGGAAAACCCACCATTTTGGGGTCCACCTAAAAAAATGACACTCCCAACTCCTTACCGTAGTTTTGTGGGTCAGAAAGGTCGTTTGGACCCTGATGCGGATGCCGTAAAAGGGGCGCCGGGCGCATGGGTGTTTCTCGAATTAGGGACCCCTCATGAGAATTGTGGCTTTCCCTTTGGTGTCCGTTTAAATCCACTCCAACAGAGGGTATTCTCATACAAAAGCACCCGCATATATGTAGACTCCTTGAGTTGCCTCGGGCATTGAGGACCCAAGGTGCCATGTTGTAAAGTTTTGTTTTTCAGGATATCCAATGGAACCCCACCCCCGATCTTTTGACACTCCAGACAGTTCGCACGCGTTTATGGCTGGCATCCGGAAATGGTTTGCGTGCGGCGTTTGTGGATGCACCCTTGTAGGACATTCACGGGCTACTGCAAAAGTACAGCAAGACAAAGGACCAGGAGAAATCACAGATACAATTCCAAGAGCGCCAGACTTATTTTTGTAGAAGACAGCCCGAACTGTGCTGATGGTTCCGATTTCCAAACAAGGCTCCGTGGATTTTTGCGCCAGGATCTCAGCAACCTCATGGTCTTCGGGAATCCGATCTATGAAGGTGCGCCCAAGGGCGAGTGGCCATCCTTTCGGTTGGAACTGGAGCCTCAGAACATGCTGTGAGATTTTACATGTGTTTTTCATGTTCAGGTTGACTAGATATTGTTGGTATACTCTTGGGGGCCAAGTGAAGATGCTACCACTACCTAGAAAAGCGATCGACTAGCCGACACATCGCTTCTTCTCGCATAAAGAGGTCACATTATGTCGCAACACCGGCTGCGCGCTGAAATGGCTATGAACTTTAATTGGGGACCCTTTCATGGACATCATGTAGGTAGGGATTTATGACTTATGTCCACCAGACACTGAACGTTTGTAGCCATATTCCGGGATCATAGAAACCAACAGGAAATTATAGAGGAACACATTTCAATTCCCTGCCGGGATTGTATTGCCACCGGATTTCCTGTAGAGTTTCCTGCTGGTTGGGAGCAATTCATTCCGGTTTCGACCCGGATCGACTTCTTAGGCCTTACGCGGAAGCAAGCCCGGCCGAAGGCGCGTCCAGTGATGCGGTAGATGCGGTATGCTCTTGAAAGAAAGTCATGGTACCTGACATCAAATTATGTGTGTTTGTGTTTGTTGTGGGCCGTTTCAGGTTGGCTGAAAAGGAAAAAGAGGACAGCCGCAATTTGTGGGGTCAAATTTTCACACATCGACCTAGCAACTGTTGAAATCACACAGTTTTTCCATGTCCTCTTTGTCTAGTTCCAGGCCCCATTCCGCACCCATCTTGAAGCTTCGGCTGGGAAGGAGTGCAGCGAGTTGCCTCGCCTCGTGCTTCCTCTTCGGTTTGACCATAACATAACCATTCATTGGATACTTTCTATGTCCCCACTAGCAAACCATGAACTGTTGTATCTGTGTTTCGCCAAGTTTGTCTTTGTCAGGGGAAGCATGGGATTCAAAGGGCCATCATGGTGAGCTCGTGCTACCTCCGATTCGGTGAGCTTGCCAGACGATAGGCAGATGCCTTGGACATTTATACGGAAGTCGTTCTAAAGGTCCTTGTAAGAAATTGAGTATTTGGCGATCATCGGTGTTGGATGAGCTACCTCCGCGAAAGATTCGTGATGGAGTTGCGAAAGGATTTGTTTGTTTCGCGAAAGTGTTGCACAACTGTTTGTATTGAAAAGATGAGATGGTCTGGTTCCAAGAATACATTACGCACGGCGTTCTTTGTTTTTGCGAAGAATGCCGATTCACGAGGAATACACATGGCTGTGGCTCAAATACATGTACCAAAATGGCACCTTGGTAAATTGGAACCAAAGACTAAAACCTGCGTATCCCTAGCTCTTGAATTTTGAGCCACACCTAATATATATATATATATATATACTATGTGCATATGATGCTCCAGGTTCTAGGTCCCCCCGGCCCACCCATGGTCATTGGTCCTCCCTTCCCCCGTGGAGTGGTTGCGGGTTGGAAATCCGGGAGGGGGGGGGGGGGGCAAGGGAACGCTGCGGGAGGTCAAGGTCTGACTGACCCGTGCAGGTGCTGGAGCATCTTCCAAAGATCGCGACTTTGGATGGAGAGCTGCTGACGGGAGACGATGATGATGGGGCAGGGGGCCATAGTGCCCCTTTCGCATGTATAATGCAAAGCCAATACACAGACATATATACATAGACATGTGCATTACATTACAATGCATGGCATTCGATTGAAATTGATTGCATCACATTGCATTAAATTGCGGCGCACTGCATTACGGGGCAGTGCACTGCATTCATTGCAATGCTGGCCAGTTCAACCGGCGGTTTCGTGGAAAGAGACACGAGTGGGCAGGGAGCTTTTGAACACCTTTTTGACAAGGAGTCTCCATGATTGTTGGAGGGAGGGTACCCATACTTGCGGCCTTACGACTCCATTGCTCAAACAGCGTCAAGGAATTTCGGGGATGGTCGATTCGGTTTTGGGTTTGCATTGGAGCCATGTAATCCTGGAGATTGGAGAAACAAACACAAATCTGGCTCTGGCTCAGGTTTTTGGGCAGATGCTTCCCCACGGAGCCGTTTTTTTTTTTTTAAACTAGCCCCGGCTCGGGGCTTAGCTCCGGCCAGGGGACAGGTTGGTTGGTTGGTTGGCTGGCTGGCTGGCTGGCTGGTTGGTGGTCGGCTGGGCGGCGGCATCCCCAGCGTCCCCAGTTACTTGGGGGCTGCGCATCAACCGGCCGCATCCCCTGCCTTTTGGCTTGAAGTTCAGAGTTGCTCGAGGCTGGTTTCGGGTGAGTGTTGGGCTTGCTGAGATCTTATATAATAAGGGCGGGTCTTGGGCTTGTTTGGGGTTCATTTAGGCTTGGTAAAGGGCTGATATCCAGGATGCTGTTGGCAGGGATGCAGCCCAAAAGCTACTGGAGAAATGAGCCGCACAGCTCGCGCAAATCAGCTCCAAACCAACCCAAACCGACTCAAAGTCAACCTTAAACCCTCCCAACAGCATCCTGGATATCAGCCCTTTACCAAGCCTGAATGAACCCTAAACAAGCCCAAGACCCGCGCTCATTACACAAGACCCCAGCAAGCCCAACACGCACCCGAAACCAGCCTCGAGCAACTCTGAACTGCCACCAAATCAAAGCCAATAGGCAGCCCTAGTCCGCGGCCCACCAACCCGACCCCCCCCCGCTGAGAGGATATGGTGTGTTGGCCTCAACCTGAGAGCGAAGCAACCCAGCCAACCTCTTTCGAGCCACATGAGGGAGGCCTTGCGCTGAGCCGGGGCTAGTAAAAAAAAAACACCTCAGCCCTTCCCCACGTCTTGGTTTCTATCTTGGGGGTCCCTTATTTCATGTGTGTGTGAATTGCAATTGTGCAACCAGATTCAGCTTGAAACCAGCCTGAAACCAGCCACAAGTTCTACAAACTTTGCCAACCTCCCACTGGTTTACCAGGGCATGGTTTCTCAGGTGAGCTGGAGCCCGCAACCCACACTGGTCACTTTCGGAGGTGCTGCTACCTGGTCTACTTGGATGTTTTTTTGGTTTGACCCAAATAATCCTTTACAACCTTTGCTTCACTCCCCGGGTTTCTGTGCTTGCTTTTTTTGGGAAGACCCTTGTAGCAAAAGTTCCGACCTGTTTGGGTTAATCTCACTTATTGTGTTTGTCAAACAACTTATAGGTTACCGTGATTATCACTTGGGTATCTGGTGGCCCTCTTACCACCATGGAACCTCAGTCGGCACATCCAAGCAGGTGAGACCTTACGACCACCGAAACCGAAGCGTCAGCCGATCAGATCGCGTGAGCCCAGGGCGAGGAAGCAGAGTGAGCTGCTCGTCCCGCGCTTGGAGTGGTCGCAACGTCGCCACGTCGCGCGTCTCGGATTTGGTTGGATTTGGATATCGTGGACATGCGTTGGTGTCCTTTGTGGACAGCCCCTTTGAATACCCACCGCAAAGGGCGTTTGGAGTCCATCTTAGATTCAGACCCATTTCGAGGGGCCTCAAGACTGTGCTTTTGGGGAGGCGAGCCTTGCCTGTTGCACCTTGGCTCAAAGGAACATCCCCATTTTGGAAGATCCCCGGAATCTGAGAGAGAGTTCCTCATAACTTATGGCATTTTCCTTTAGCTTGGTAGTGGGTTGGGGTTGTGGAAACAACTTTAAAGGCGGAGGGAATGGCCAAGACATAGCCACGTTTTACATGTTGAGATACACATGGGCCATCATTCGCAAACTCCTTTTTTTTCTGGGGGACACAAGCCGAGGTGGTTTCAGAATTGTGTCTGCAGATTACTTTTTCGATATCATGAACGCCTCCCCTGAAAATTCCTTTCCAAGTGGGTTTGGTTCCTAAAAATAAGAATCGGACCCGAAACAATTGGTTCCCCACCCAAAACAGAGTTTCCTCCATTTCCCCGCTGAAACCTCCAAGAGCGGCTGTTTCAATGGAAACCGCGAGTCATTTGCAAGCGAAGAGGAAATCCAGTGACCTTTGTTCAAGGGCACACTCGAAGACAGACAGACCCAAGTTTTCTCAAGTATGCCGCACTAAAGGCGGTTTGAGGACAGCCCCGGCCCATTTCAGGCAGCTCCTGGAATTTGTCCAGCCTCGAAACCCGCCTTTTGGGGGGAAGACCCTGTTTGTTCCAACCTCAAAGTAAAGTCAGGTACGCCTTCGTTGGTGGATTGGAGCTGGGAGCTGAACCCATGCCTCTTGTAGGAGGTAAGCGCACCAATCACCAATCCAAGCCACCAAAAAAATGAGGGACACGGCTCAAAACCGTTTTGTGAATCTCTGTGTTTCTTTTTGGTTTGTCGATTTGTGTGCTCAAAGAGGGGTCAGAAACTCGGATTGTGTTCCCAGGTGCTCAGATTGCCTTAGGAAGGAACCACCGCTATGATCAGGCGAGCTACTGTAACGTGTGCAGCACGAGGCGTTTTAATCCATAAGGTTCAGGCAGCAGTTCTTCTTTTGCGGCATTCTTTCGTGGAACTCAACACCCGCAGGTCAAGCTTGCCTTGGTGCTGAATACCCATAATTCAGGCTGCTTGTTTCGGGAGGGAACCGCCAGCACATTGGTACCATTGTTCGATTGTTGTCCAGATCATCACCCAGGTGTGTAGGTGTGTTGCTTGCCTCTTGTTTAGGTGTGCAATTCCTTGAAAGGCCCGAGCGGTCAAACAAGGGTGAGCAGTGACAGAATGGACGACGTGTCTGGATTGTAGCACATTTGCGAAGAGAACTATAATTGCATATTAGACATGGTTCAAAACCAATGGTACCATTTTGGGATAGGTGAATTCACCACCCATTTGAGGACCAATTTTAGTGGGGATTGAATCGGATGTTCACTGGGGGCTAACCGGGGTTTTGACCCATGGCCATATGTTTTGGTTTTAAACCATCTACTCTGGAAGTAGGTTGTGACATTTTGTATGGCCGCTTCAACCCGTGACAGCCTTCTAGATGCCTAAAGGCACTCATGATATCCAACATATTCCAGTGGCTACAACGAAGGCACAGTGCCAACTAAAATATCGGATCCCGTTTGAATGCCAAGAAGAGCAGTACAGAAAGGCCTTGGTATGAGATGGGGTTTCCTACTTTTGAACACACCCACTTCTGCAACGTGACTGCAACTGCCTTGGTTTTGTGCCAGGTATGTTGTTGGTATGCCAGTAGTAAGTTTGTAAGTTGTTGGTTAGACCCCACTCACACACCCTGCGCGGAACATCCACCGTCCCATGGGCTTTTCTTACTGTTCGCAAGGTCACTGAGCTGATTTGCAAGTGGCTCCGGCGGCTGAACAGAATTGCCCCGGGGAGCCGCAAGCCAGGACAATAACACAAGAGTATATACTCATGCTTGGCTGCACCCACTTGCATTGCTTGGAGAACAGAGGGGACACTAAGTTCAGAACAGCCCCGGGCAGCCCGCTTGCTGTCACTTAAAGCACGGAATTCGAATGGTTTCACCCCTTTACTGCGTTGTCGCATGCCGTCGCGCGAGCCTGACACAAAAGGGTTTGAACTCCCACCAATTTAGCGGCCTGGGGACGCGTCAAAACAAGGCCTTTTTACTGGACGCCCTTTTTCAAGGAGCGGCCGCACTTCAGATTCTTCATATGGTTGGTGTTGCCTGCCTTGTGGTCTCCCTTACAATCTAAAGGGGTCTCCGAGTCTCCGATACTTGTAGCCTCTGCTCCCGCATCATGCAAGAAACATTCTCTCTGTTTCGCTTGAAGCCTCCTACCTCATTTGTCTCAATGCTCGTCAATGCCGGGAAGATCGGGCAACAGCAACGCGAGCTTGATTAAATGGAGCTTGTACATAACGATGTGCAGTTTTGCTGTGGCTCCCCTTATTCTAAGTCTCCAATACTTGGACCCTAATGTTGACCCCATATTGACCAGCCCCAGTTGATTAATAGGTGGGTGTCCCTGCGTTTCGTGGGGAATCATCACTTTTGGAGGAGAACACCCCCCTAATAAACTGGGGTTGACGAAAATATGGGTAATCTTAGTCAAGATGACCCTTTCAAGTCTCATTTTCGGGCCACGTTTCCTTTAAGAAAAACTGATGCTCCGGGAGCCGAGCGCCTTAGCAGTCCACGTGCGTGCCCTTTCAAGTCCCTCGCAATCGATCGCCCCGGTTTGCCCAAGCCGGACAAAGATTCGCCGGCCAGGTACGTTTCACTGTTCTTGGATCAAGTTGTTTGGCTTTTTGATGCTTTTTGTTTTGTTGGTTCTGTTCATTCTGAGTAGGGGGCTGCAAAAACAGTCGGTTTTTGCAACCACGCCGAATTTGTTGGGTTTGCAGCGTTTGTGTTCTTCGCTGAACGCAAGAAGGCATCAGCTCAGCCCACTCTCATGTTGTTTTGTCTTTGGACCTTTGGCCATTGAAGTTTTGTGTCGCAACCCGAAGGGTTGGTAACTTGTGAAGATGTACTTTGACCATGCCGTGGGTCAACACCAATGGGATCCCATTTTGGGGTAGGTGAATTCACCACCCATTTTAGAACCTATTTTAGTTGGGATTGGGATGTTCACTGGGGGTACCGGATTTTGACCCATGGCCATTTCTTGTGACCCCACAATCATTTCACATGTTACCAAGGGACACATTGATCCGAGAAGGCAAGTTATAACGATCTACATGTAGAGCGAGCAAAAGTGGTGGGACCGTCTCTTGGGGATTACTTCTGTCCACTTTGTGAATAGAAAGTAGCCCAGGTCAAAGACTCTCCGAGTTCCCGGACTTGATTACTTTTTGGGAAGACGATGCAAGTGGCAAAGAAGGAGTTTGGACTTTGGGCCAATCCAATCCACCCAATCAGATGCGAGAAGATCTTGCCTCGCGCTACTCCTTGCGTCGCCGGCCGCCGCGATGCCGCGGAGATCCAAGTCAGGCGGACCTGATGCCATGGTGTCTTTGCACTAGGTTTTTCAGTAGTGCCCTTTTACTCCCTTTTTTCATGGGGAGGGTTCCCCTACTAAAATAGACTACAGAAGAACACAAAAAAAAACAGGTACCCTTATTCTAGCCTCTCAAATCTGGAGGACCTAGTGCACCTACTTGGCGTTACGGATGGTCTGGAGCAAGGATCGCTTGGTCCAAGCACCTGGCTGAGCCTGACCCAGCTTGTGGACTTTGGCACGTTCGATCCTGCCTGAAACTTGTCTAAGAGAGAGATCACCCTTTCTGACCCTCTTTCAGAAGAGGATGCTTAAACCACTGTCTCAAAAGGGATGGATATGTCTGGATATGTGTTGACCCTGTGGACACAATAAATCCGGCACTTGGATGAACACCTATGGACACTTGGCACTCCGATGCCAGCTGGTGCCTGAGATACGCCACCTCCCTCCGGGTAGGCAACATTTGGTCGACAGTTTCAATGAGCGTTTCTCGCAGAAGTGTTGGGAGCATCCCAAAAAAATGGATATGTGGGTCTGTCTCTGTTTGGAGGGAGCTCGATTTGTTCGGGTTTGAAAGGGAAACCAAAAGGACGCCGAAGTCCGAACTACATTTGGGAGGTCGAAAAAAGAACCACGCCCATTCATCCACCGCACCCAGGGGTCATGCAACTTGGCCAGGCCCGCGTCGCCGTCCTGATGATGAGCCGCCGCGCCTTGGGCCGCATGGCGATTTGCACGCGAGATCAACGTCGCGAGTCGCCACCTCTCGCGGGTGCCAGCGAGAGCCATGATCCTGGCCTCCCTGGAGCAAAAGACATGGAAAAAATGGTCCCTGAAAAAGCTGCCTTCTTTTTCAAGAACAAACGACATGTTATTGGAATCTTGAGATCAGTAAGTTTTGAGATGAATCATCATGGTAGATGAAAAAGCTGCCCTGCCTTTTGTTTAGCGACATTTTGTTGGAATCATACACTTTGAGATGAATCACACCCCGATTGAAGGGTCCCGGAGGGGCAAAACCACACCTTCCCCAGTTTGCGGGGACTCTGACATAATACAAATTATCACCTGACAAATGCTCTTCTTGCCGCATCCTCGAGTTGCGCCCAGGGGCATTTCTCTTATCACAAGGAAATTCGTAGAGCTCCTTAGTTAAGGTCAGTTAATGGGGGGAACTCGCGCATACATTCGGAATGGTCTTCTTTTACCAAAACTTTGACAAGCACTGGTGAAGATTCCAGTCATGCACGATTTGAGTACACCAGGGTGTCCGTAGATGACACAATTCCCCTTATGTGAGTAAGTAATATAAAGGGGATAGCCACGCCGTTTGTTTTTGTTCTGTTTTTTTCAGCTCGTCCAAAAGGCCCGGGAGGAGGAACCCGTTTGTCCTAAGTTTGTCAAGGGCCC